GTAGCATATATATTTAGTCTGAAATTTTCTTAGTATAATTTCGGTTGTAAGGTCCATACTAGTTGTTGAATTTGAAAAATTAATTGATTTCAATAATTCAATTTACTGAACGCGTCGGCTCCATATCCTAGCACACTGATTGCGAGTGCAAGTATCCCAACGCGTGTCAAATTGCGTCGCGCCCACACGCGCTTGCGCATCAGAACGCAAAACTTCTTGGATATCATATTATGTCAATAGGGATTCCAAAGAAAAAATTCAGAAAATTTAAGAATATGTATTGTTCATACTCTACAAATAATTCACTTCACAAAAATCAGCTTTATTTATGGACCTAAGTTGATGCAACAATTCACCTAATCCTATCCAATCCTAATTTTCACTCTGTAACGAAGAGGAAGTAATGTTCACTTAACTTGCAAAAAATCTACCCTAAACTGACAACCGATATAGAAACAACGAGTTATTAATATCGTTACATTTGTAAATCCGATACTAAATACACATTTCCCCCAAAAGTAATCTAACTTATCTTCATTCAATTCAACAATAATGATCCAGTTTCTGAGTAACTGAAAATCTGCGTCATAATAAAACGAATTCAAGCTCACGGGCATTGAAAATACCGGCTGTGTCTGTGTGAGTGCCATTCATGATTTTCCCAGAAAGGGGACTGGGGTGAGAGCTCCGAGGGAGAAGGCTGTATAGGGGTCGCCTCCCCGTTTATGAATGAGGCCACGCGTCATTGATATCGATCGCTGAACGGCCCCAGCTAAGGTTAACATACAAGGGCAGCGTTCAACAGGTGGCTACTTCACGCACGCCTTGCTTTCCGCAAAACAACTTAAATACTTTACTAATGACGTCATCGATAACGTTTGACGCTATATCATATCATCAGATTCTATCACTATCAACACAACTTTATCATAATCTTGCCAATGCAATAATGACTGAGTTTACGTAAGCATCGACTGAAATGACTGTGAGTGGCGAAATAATTGATGTTTAATTATTGAAAGAGTTGTTTTTTGCTAATATAGGATGTATACTCAATACGGTTTAATACATAAAGTTATTTATTAGTAACAACGTTAAAATTATATGCATATCTAGGTCACGAACTACAGAATGTTTTTATATTACACGAATAGTTTATTTATTTAAGAGATTATGTAACTACGTTATTTTGAATGTACGTTTTAGGAATAAGTTAAAAGTAATAAAACTGTGGTACCATATTAAAGAGAGATTTTGAAATAAAAGTTTTTGCTATATTTTATTATTTACAAATCATTACTTTAGAGATAGTTAACATGTATCGAGTGATAGTATGTATTGAGTTTTTATAATTTATTTATAATTTTTTTATAACCAAATACCTTTATAACCAATCATTTGTAACCAAATCAAAATAATAATAAATGATATTAAAAAATTACAATTTTGTATTAAGATAATAAGTTTTAGTTTCCAAACAGTTAATTAATCGAATTGTTCATGAGTAGTGTCGATCATATGTTCGGGGAAATTTAGTGAAAAGTCAACATTGCTGTGCGTCACGCGCTCAATGGAGGGTGGCGGGGTGGTTGTGACGTCATCACCCTCCCTCCCCTCACCCCTCCTCCGCAATCCTCCTAGCAGCCAACTTCGTTGTGATTTGTAATAATTAAGAATATTACTTAGAGCAACATACCTACATAGGTATACCTATCAATTACTTTTCAAGTCTGCAAAGATGCTGGCCGATAATATTTTAATTTGAGTAATGTCAAGGAGGTTTTATTTTTTTATTTCTATGACTACACTATTCGAGTGAGTCTGAAATTTAACGACGCGTTCGTTGGTGCCAGTACAAAATCTATTCAGAGCTTGCGCCGAAAAGATAATGAATTCTATCATGATGATGCATTGATTAATAAAAATATATGGCTGTACCGAGATAAACATTTAGCTTCGCAGACGTCAGTTATGAATCTGCGTGAAATTTGAGTTTTCGAGTGCCGTTGTAATTATAAAGGTGACATGACGTGACGTGCGAAGTGGCGTGTGCCAACATTGTTATGCGATGAGCTCGGTTTATTTTACATCAACCGTCACAAAAACAGTGATAATATTTTTATGTGATCGGTAATATATGAAGATTTTTACCATTTAAAACATAAGCATTATTTTATTGATTTACGTATAAAGTATTTACGAAATAGATAGCTTGATTAATATATGTATGCTCTAGTTAGTATGAGAAAATGTTGTACATAAATCATTTTGAATTTTCAACGTAGAAATGAATCACTGTTAGTTTATTGCTTGCTGTTGATAGTTCTATTTACAGAACGCTGCATCGTCACCTAGAATTACATTTAAAAGTTATTTTTAGTCTCTGAAACTTTGAAAAACTACAACTACCTATACCTATTACTACTATCTTATAATGTCTGAAGTCCAAAGCTCATTTAATACTGGTAGCATAGAAATATTATAACGAAAAATGAAGTATTCTATAAGTTACAACGCAAAATTAAATATGTCGAATAAGAATTTCTTGTTTATCGATTCAACTTGGTTATTAGTTCAAACATTTTATTTCTTATATCTCATAAAAATATAATCTATTCCACTTATCTTGTTATAAGACGCATATTGAATTTTATTATGATATTCCATACATTAGAACTGAAGACAAAACCAATTAACATACTCGGATTTGCATACAAAGGAAGTTGTTTTCACAATGGTATTATTAGTAAGAGTAATACAAGACGTAACTTATGCCAAAAGATTTAAAAAACCCTCGAAGAAATTCTTTTAAATTTCTTTAATTATTTTTAGTTTCTGATTCGATTCAACAAGCAACATTCATGATTAGAATTTTCTAACTCAAAGACAAAATGTATCGTAAATATTTTTTCGAATATCCAAAGTATCCTTGCATATAATATGTAGTGAGTTCCTTGTACATTGTGATTACAAAAACCTTTTATGTAATTTTTGTTTAAATGTAAAAGCTTACTAAATTAATTTCTACACAACATTATTACTATACAGTAATTATGTGAAAAACATGTGTAGAATGTTTTACACTAGCCAGTCCCACGCCGGCTCGTGGGCCGCTATCAGCTGTCCAATACAATATTGTTGAGGACGTCCTACGACAATATTAAATTGCATCTTTGTAAAATCATTCACACATATTCAACATACAGGAGATCGTACAAATGGTAGGGCAAAACGTTTTTCCATTGTAATCATCTAGTAACGTCAGAGATAAAAATGATTCACATAAATAGAGCATTGCCAATTAATTACCTGTAACAGATATTAAACACGTCAGTAAAAGCTCCATTGCAAATAAATTGCGAAGCAATGACGTCTGTTAGAAGATCAACAACTCACAGTGATGAAACATTCACGCGATAGAAATAGACAACGGATATTATGATAACAGGCTGAAATAGAACCCCGCCTCCCAAGACCGAACCAAAAGCAGTCAAGTTAATTATAGAAAGATCTCGACGGAGACGTTTTCATACTATGATTCACCTGCTGAAAACTCGATTGTTCGCATTTTACGTCAAACGTTTTGCGTGGTGTTTACTAGCGGGATCGTCAGCTGACGGCCAGGAATAGCCCTGACATCGCGGCCACGCTATGCGCCTGCGCCCGCGCACCCGCAAATAGCGCGCTATAATTAGACAGCGGTGAAATCGTGGGTTTGTTATTTTTCTTTATCGTCTCCGTTACGTGATAATTGGGTTAGTGGCTGCATGTGGGCCCGAACGGCGTCGGCGTGTCTCGACCACAGCAAACAGGCCGTTGTCCTTACAATACTTGCATAATAACATCCAGCCTTCCTTATTACGTTTATTATACGAGGAATTTTAGACTCGTGATAATTAAACTTCATTACAAATTCCTTAACATTACATACAGATATTCTTAAATTTTTAATTTTAATCTGAAATATTTTATATTTCTAAGTTAAAATTATATTATATTAAATTGTAGAGACATTTGTAATGCAATTGTGATTTATGAACAAATTGTCAATATCGGTACGTTCCGTTCAACCCAGTTCTGTCTAGATTTTTCCTTTTACGTCTCAGTAACACGTCCCTGAGGCAGGTACGAATGAAATAGTTTAAATCAAGAGTGGCTATTGGTAAGTGGGCGCCCACTCACTAATATCAAGTAGATAATTGCAATGCTGACACAATCCTCCAATTAGTAAGTGAGACAATCATTACTGTACACAGAATGTACCTGTACATCAACCCACACACTCCGACACATGTATTTGTACAAACAGGGAAACTTCACGAGCACTAGATGTAAAATGAATATTCTAGGTAGTCGTAAACTCACTTTTATTAGCTGTTAACATATGTAGGCTTCTTGTATAAGGCTAAACCTAACTCATATCATTTTAATGTTAATGTAATAATATCAAATAAATCAATTTATATATGATTTCGTATGTATATATTACTGCTGTCTAAATTCACATCCTACTGCAGGTAAAACAAAACCAAATTTTAGTAGTTTCGTTGGCAACTTGAGACAAAACCAAACCTAATTTAATTATTGTCTAGGAACAAAGCTAATGAACGCTGATATAGTTACGAACAAAGCCTTAAATCAAATTTCACTCATACGACTAATTTTCTGAAATAAATTCTTCTATCAAACACGCTGAACGACAGAATATCTAATATCTATTAAAGACTCTATCTCCGTAATTTTAATAAATACGTACATACCTACTACGTAAATTTTACAAGTCCTAATATTATAAAAATATATGTTTATAGGTATTTTTAAAATGCTATAAAATAAAATAAGATTGAAAAATAAAATTTCCTTTTGAAACAAAATCAATTTATTTATTAGAACAATAATTTCCCTCAATGTAGTTAGAGTTAAAGGAATAATTAGGTAATTAATATAACGGCACGTGTTAATAAACGGCGATACAATCCCGTTCAAGAGCCAGCAGCGCGTCAAACGTAAAACTCCAAGGTACAAGGTAAAAGGTTGTAAGGCTTTAGCGGGCGCGAGAGCGGTCGGAGCGCGTGTCTACGAGTAGCGGGAGGGGTCCGGGGGGTGCGAGGGGGTCCGGGGGGGTGTTGGAGGCGCGGGCGGTGGGCGGCGACGGGCGGTGACGTCATCGGGGGGAGATAGAGCCGTTCTATTGGTGGAGGTGCGCGCGCCGCTACCGAATATGGGACCGCTGCTCCATTGATAAAACACGGCTGCGGGGTCGCGCGGCGCCAGTCCCTTTCGTACCGGCGGCGCGAGAGGCCGTATTCAAGCTGGCGTTGTTTGTGATTCCACTCGGCCCGTGGGCTGAGGAGCAGGTGGTTCCGGACGGGATGGGCGCGGATGGAGACCCGCCGAACGGACCTCACCTCCTCTCGCTGGCGGACGTCGGGGCCTTGGGCTTCGACTGCGCTCTGAAGCCGGTGACCGCGCCTATGACAGGCGGCGCTCCAGCGGATCTCAACACGCCCGTGTCCACGTCCGAACTCCCCGCTTTCTTCCCGAGCCTGCTCGAGCCTCCTCCGATATCAGGTGCGTCGACGCACGTCACTCGGACCGAGGAGCACCCGCTTGCGACCGATAACGTTGTAAATAAACATTGCATTTGCACCGAACACGAATCGCACCGTTTAGTTCAGTGCTGTTATATTCGTTAAGTGTTTCTCTTATAACAAAACGTTCGTCGTCTCGTTATAATACAATCTCCGACGTATGTCTCTGTTCCTGCATATTCAGTGATGTAAACTTCAGTGAAACTGAAAGTTCGCTCGTGCCATGCGACGGATCGATACGTATTGTTGAATGAATGGTTTCATTGTGAATTTCTACCGGCTCGTTGTATAGATAGCGGTTTGTTTAATATATTTGTTAAAGTTATGTGACGGTTAACGCGTTTTATGATATAAAAGGTTAATGTTAAAGTGAGAAATTACAAAGTGTAAATGATACGGTAAATATGAAACAACACACATGACACAAAATTATTTAAATATTTAGTTTTATTACAGATTAAGCAAAAAGTTTAAATATCTCGTAATATTTTTAAAATCATTAACATAGAGAAAAATAAGCAAATTTATTAATTACGATAAACATTCTAGTACAATTTATAAAAACTTTTACGTCAAATAAAATCTCTCTCGTCAAATTAGCAATTATAGGCAAAGCAAAAGCGTAAAATATCTTTATATCTTTTCAAATATTAGCATATGATTGAAATAATATAATATCAAATAAAGGATAAAGTACATATTTTTTAGGTAACGCTCGCCATAGAACGTGTCAGATAGACGTATCAGCATCCGTCGCTTATCACCAGCTACATCCGTACTTTGTTACAAAACACGCTAAATATTTCATACACATTGCAATCACACACTTATTAGAAATCACATAGAATTAAAAACGTACGAAAACACGCCGTGGCTTATAAAAGACATACTGTTTGGAATTTACTTAATTAGTTCATCAAAATATGACGATTTTATTATTTTACAATTCAATTAAAATTATTTATTTACTATAATATTTTTAATTTGTTTCAATTTTAATTAAATGTTTATGAACTCTTATCTTAAACGTGTTCTAATTTGTTTGTTTTAAACAAACGACAGGAAAAATATTACTTAAAGAAATGTTGATATAGGATATTTATTGCCATTTTCGTAAAATATAATTAAAATATGTAATACAATGCCATATAAAAAAATGAATCAATATTATCGATTTCAGTAAATTTTTAATTTATATTAGATTTCTTTTTTACAGGTACTTTACCAGGCGATGAGTTACTGGGGTGCTCCCCTCGTCGTCACAAGCATGAAGCGTCTTTGTCACCGGGAGCTAGGGCCGAGGATGCTAGCAATGCCTCTAGTGCTAGCGCCTCTTTATACGGACCACCGATGGGTGGCAAAAGAGCTCCCTCACCACCACTACAATGGCTGCTGCCGTCTGGACCCGGTCCGGGCAGCGTAGATAAATACTTCCAACAAGAGTACGAGGAACGCGTCGAGCTTCTACCGCCCGAGTGTCAACCCTCATACTGCACAGCGCCGCAGCAATGTCAGCCGCAACACTGCGAATATAGACCACAACCTCCACCACAACCACAACACTCCTGGGAGACGCAGGAGTACGCGAGCGTGCCGCAACCAACACCGGGTCCCTCCGGAGTACCCAAGAGAGAACCGTATCCTAACACAACAGGAGACAGACCCGTGCAACTAGCAGAATACAACCCGTCCACGAGCAAAGGTCACGAGATATTATCTCAAGTGTACCAGCAGAGCGCTCAACCGCTGCGTCTAGTCGCTGTCAAACCTCGCAAGTATCCCAATCGTCCGAGTAAAACACCAGTACACGAAAGGCCCTACGCCTGTCCAGTGGACGAGTGTGATCGCAGGTTTTCGAGATCAGACGAGCTGACAAGGCACATACGCATCCACACGGGACAGAAACCGTTCCAGTGTCGTATCTGTATGAGATCGTTCAGTCGATCGGATCATTTGACGACACACGTCAGAACTCACACAGGGGAGAAGCCGTTCGCGTGCGACGTGTGCGGTCGTAAGTTCGCGAGGTCTGATGAGAAGAAGCGTCACGCGAAGGTTCATCTTAAGCAACGTCTCAAACGTGAGCGCGGTAGTGGCCCCGCTCACCCACACGCGCCACTCTAGCCCGATCATCCATCGTCGTCCGATGTTCCGGATGACTGAACTGTTAATTACTTTCACGTTGAAGTTATTAAATAATTTCATCGCATAGGTGTAAAAGAAATTGTCTTTAACGAAGCTTTATTAACTCTACATTTGTAAATTCACTGAAATTTATATATATATATGTATACCTATATATATATCTTTTTATACGTATTTGTAATTACTAAGCTAGGGACGGTCGATTTGGTGTATTTATTTTAATGAGATAGGATAATTGAATGAACTAGACTGGGATCAAATATAGATATGAATCGGTGTGGCCTAAAGTCGAACGCGACGGAAGATTTCGTGGCTGCGTCTCCCGATCTACTCGGCGTAGTGCTAACACATATCTTTCTGTCTGACTATCTTTTAGCTTATTATTACAGATATATCTCTGCTAGTTATCGAACGAGAGGTCAAGTTCTTGTATGAATAAAAAGGTGATCGTTGAGAAGTGATATATAATAGGCCTATTCGCAAAAATAAATCAGTTCAGATTATGTTTGCCACACTTTAATATAGGTTATACAAATATCGAAAGTAGATAGGTGTTGTTTACTATTAAAATATTTTCTATTGATGTTAAATTACACAGTGGCGAACATTATCTGACTACTTCTTGCGTATATTAGTAGAAATGTAATATATATGTAATATTCTTATACTTGACAAACTAACGTGAAATTGTGCCATTCGTTTAACTTTACCACGTGCCACGGCAATTTGTTTAATTCTAAGTGTAACACGACTGCTGATTAAGTGATAATTATTATTATAAATATTTTATTTCGTTTTTAATATTTCTAGTCGAAAATATGGGTGTGAGAATGTCCAGTATTGTATGTTCTCGTACATGAAGCATTATATTTTATCACCCCTCAGCTGGTTTTCGACAAACGCTATCATGTTCTCTTGCTCAAACGTTTATTTAACAAAATTTTGCTCAATTCTCTTTTCTATGTTTTGAATTTACTATCGGTACATGCTTCGATTAACATTTTCCGTTCTAACTCTTATTACTTGCACTAGTTACTTCATTAAATCACTTCTTTTGTTCACCCAGTAGTGTATGTTTTTACGTTTTTACAATTAGACTAATTTAGTGAAGGTAGATGTAGGTTTTAAATTATGATCTCTTAATCATTATTAATTATTTGCGAGTATAGTGAAAGCCCATTATTTATAATACTCATAAGTTTCTTTGTAGATAACATTTCCAATTTATTAGATTCTGTACGGACGCTTTCTTTCAGTTAAAATGATTACATAGTGCAACTCGTCAACGTCATGGAAAACAAATATTTCATGAACTTTACACAACAGGTCAGGTTTACTCATTTACTGTGTAAACAAGTAGTTTCTAAAGCACAAACTTAATTTAAATGTTTATATAAATATACTGTAAAACTTATTACGAAATGCCTTTGACTTAAAAACGTGGTTGTTTGTTAGTTCAGAAGGACTTGTTGATTAAATTGTTAATGTTATTATGCTAAATGTAATAGTAGACATCAATCATAAATCATCAGAAAATGTGACGTTGCAGTCACAAAGGGTGACAAAAGTTTAACAGGGTGGCTCTCGAGACAAGGAAGGACATTATGAATTTAGGATATCTGACAATAATATTACTAACTCTCGCGCCTAAATATTTCTAACCGTAGGGCATACCATCTTATAATTTTCCGATTTTATCATGACTTTCATAATGGAGGTATAAATTGCGTCACCCTTCAAAGCATCACCTTGTTAAAGTAAGGGACATGCCTGTTGTTTTTATTATTGTAGACGAGACTTGGTCTCATAGCAAGGCTAGCGTAGATAGGTTTTATTAAAGTGTATTCATGTTAGTCAAACGAGTGACAATTGAAACTGAGAAGACTAAATTCTTACACATTTATGTAATGTTGCATCGCGTTGACTTTATTGATATACGATATAGGGTACATGTTATATCTTGCTCCGCTGTCTGAGTGGTTGCTAGAACTGTCTCAAGACAAGCGGCTGCAAGGACTTAAATTGTTGACCTCTGTTATTACAAATCTGTTGCGTAAATCCATCGTAATTACAATTTATGTTACTATCTAAGGGTTAGTGTTTTAAGGATAACTTCATGGTGTTCACTTGTATGTGAACTAACGAATTTTCTGTATAATTATAAATTAATATTACGTATTTCACCTGGAAGAAGGATGTTGTTTATGTTCTAATTTTAAATAGTTATAAGTGTCATTTTAGGTATTGTTAAATCTCACTAATTTTTACTAAATTCTATTTAATATATTTGTAAATACACTCTGACTAAATTTGAATTTAATGTGTATATAAGAAAAGAAGAAAATTTTTATTTAATATGAAAAATCACCTAAGGTGCAAAAATACAAACTGTTGAAAACTTTAAATATGTTTTTTATTACACATACGACCTCAAATATAACAGACTTAGTATTATAACACGTGAAATTCCACAGCGAATTCGTTGAAAAGAAACTAGACGTTGGCAACATTATGAACACATTCCCTAATGTGTTAAATTTAGTGCGACAAGTGGTTAGTATTGGCACACAACATAATGTTTATTCGTATTTTTAACTGCTGTTCAAAATACAAAAATCTTGAAGTATTAAAACATGTTATACTAAACGACTTCTGTAAAACTAAATTATATAATAGTTGCTTAAAATGTTTAATTGCGGTCTGAAACCGGCAAGTTGAACTCTAAAAAAATACAATGATCGACAGACTCAAAGACTCCTATTATTCAAATGTTTAATTGTTAAAATGCATAAACTAAATTAATAAACGTCACATAGTATAACATAAAATAAATAAAAATAACTCAACCCCCGTATATTCTATCATGTCTTAATCTGCAATTATTTTTAAATCATTTCTATGTGGGAGTTTTGCTTAATCTTATTAATGAGTTTTGTTTTTAATTCATATTTTTACAAGCATTTAAGTATGTATCTTATACATAAACTCGTTTTTACTTGTGCTCTCCGAACAATTGGAATACACGTGTAGAAGTAACTCATACTAACACAATGAAATTTTTTAAAATATATAAAATATCATAAAATCATAGTAACAAAAAGATGAGACATTGTGCTTACGCATTAAAACTATAATAGTAATTTTCAAAATAGTTCGGATATTTAAAATTTCATGTGTAAAATTTGTTTTGTATCCTCATAAACTGATTTAAAGGACTAATAATAAACAACAATAGAAATGAAAAAAACATTTGCAGTCGAGATAATTATACCAACATAATTTTGTTAGAATCACTTCTGTAGGCCATCTATTGGATAAAACTAAACATTATTTCCAAATGATAAATATCCAGTTACGTACTGATCTGAAAAGTTCCAGTACTGTCTCATAGGTGGCGGTTTTCATAATTTTGATAATTTATTTTACTCAACTTTCTGCTTATCTTAGACGATAACAATTTTTATTACCATAGAAGGAAATAAAACAAGGAAGCATAGAAATAATAAAAGTATTTATCATAATCATCTTTATTATCGTTTTTATTATTTAGGCCACAATGTGTAGTACAGCCACGTAACAAATATAAAATAAATGGAATGGTACAAAACTAAATACCGCTGAGAAGGAAAGACAACCATAGACTAGATTTTAATTGCGTTCAAACGCCAACTAACAATTATAAGTTAGTAAAAGTAACAGGCATCAGGAGAAAAAAAAAACGGAAAAAATATTTTATTGTTCAATATAAACAAAGTGTGGTATCGAAAATAATAAATATAAGTATAAAAACACATTAGGCACTTAGAATATAGGTATTTAAGAAAGATAACTGTATTATTTAATAATTTTGTTACAAATACAGCTTAATCTTTAAATTTTCATATCACACATCATAAAAATTTTACAGCCAACCAATTATTTATTTTTAAATTCTTTGCTTACCATATAATTGTATACAATGTAGGCTGATGTCAATAAAAATTTATTACTGCTTAAATTATTATGTCTAAAATATTATAGTGATGTATTAATTTATTGAACAAAGAATTAGGCTTGTTTTATCTTTTACAAAGTCATACAAGTTATATTGTTTGGATACCTAATAGGTACATGGGATTATTACTATGATGTATAATATTTTTATATCATTGTTTATAAGAAGTTATATGACATACGGCATACATAAAAAAAAATGAGATAAACATAGCTTTAAGCTTATCAAACATAACTATAGGAACATAAGCATATTGATTTAACCCAAATTAACAATCCATATGATTATTTATTTATAATATTACAAATCAAAACATATTAAAGAGAATAATTAGAAAGATATATATAATATAAAAAAAACTAAGTAAATTTTAATGAAACAAACTTTTCTCATATGTTATAAACAATATAAATACATATATAAAATGAAAGATAATATTTATTTGTTCTAGCGTTGACTGTCAAAAATATAACACATTGCCAGTGACCTTACCACAAGTTTGAATAGCAGAACAAAATACAGTGTTACCAATATTACATTCATATAACTATGTTGGCACTACCATAGGAAAAGGTCTTTGAATAAAGCCAGCTATCTATATTTAGTCAGACTATCCAAACCTGTGGTAAAATTACTTTTATAAAACATCTAGTGTGCGTAAATAAATTATATGATCATTACATGCTCTATAAACATCTAAAAGACTCAAGGACATATTTAATGCTATATAATTCTTCAATACATACGTTACGTGTTCTCCTGTTCGTCGTTTTTTGCTAGGTTCGGTTCGGACTCAGCGCGTCGCTTGAGGCCGTCCGCGTCCGGCGACTGCGGCCTCTCGACTGACTCTTCTATAGCAGCAGCAGCTGCTTTTATATCCGGAGCACTCCGGCTAACGTCCTGGTGATTTAGTAAATGACATCAAAAAAGGTTTGTATGTACATTGTACATATATTAATATTGATTTCCGCAACATCTTTATATTTGGATTTTGATATACTAAAGTGTAAAACTTTTAGTATACATGGACCAAGAGCCAAATTAAGATTCTCTTAAAGTGAACTGTAGTTTTTAAAATTCAAGATATAACATTGATATTTTGGTCTCATATATGTATGTTAAGGAATTAAGTATTTTGTTGGTTTGTTATTGTATATTCCAAATTGATTTACCAATTCCGGTTCAATAAAATCTTCAGGTTCCTGTTTGACTTGGACATTCATTTTATCATTAAGATAACAGACTCCGTTCAAATCTATAGCGCTGTTTGAGAATATTGCCGCCGCTCCAACCGAAGCATCAACAAGTGGCTCGATCTGAAATAATTGGTAATTAATTAATTAAATAACATCTCGTCTGCCCGTGATCACGGTTGCTGTAAAGTAGCCGAAACGTCGGGACTATGTAGTTTATAGACAGAAATAAAAACGCCTAGTAAATCCGAAAATATTAGTTCCATTTAACTGATAATTGTTAATAAACCTGAGAATTGTTTGTTTGCTCTGCAACTCTCAAAAAAATGCCACACTTTAAAAAAAAGCAATCTAGCATAACACTACACTACTACGATACATGAAAACTAAGTTGGTTCATAATATAAATATTCTTGTTTTTGAATTACTGAAGTAATTTAACTTACCATAACATTTTCCGGCACTACAATTTTCAACTGCATAGCCTTCTTTTCCGAAGTTGTGTCACATTCACCTGTTTTATGTGATGCATCCTTAAAATCTTTTTGTTCTCTGGAAATTATGTAATTTTTTTTATTAAATTTCCGTTTGGGTTATATAGAAATGTAGTATTAGGGTGAAATTTTAAAAATAGAATATTCCATTATATCCTACTAATATTATAATTGCGAAAGTTTGTGAGTGTTTGTGTATGTTTCTTACTTCTTCACGCTCAAACAACTGAACCGATTTTGATAAAATTTTGTATACAGGAAGCTGACGTCCACGAATAATACATAGGCTACTTTACATCCTGGAAATCCGCGGGCAACACCGCGGGACTCAGCTAGTAAATAATAATGCATTAGATACTTACTTCTTAGGCGTTGCGTGATGGCTATCACTCTTGTCATTCTGATGTTGTGTGATCAGATCACAGGCCTTGCCGAGTATCACAATGGATATTAGAATTCTTATTGATATTAGACATAGATATGCTATGAATATCAAAAGTATCGCTGCCAGGCTGAAAGCATTGGAACTTTGGTTAAATAACACAGATATAATAAAACCATCATGTCAATATTTTAGAAAATTCCAGACGACTATTAAGAAAAAAAAATTATATCAGTTACAGCACAATATATTAAATTACAGTTAAGTACTAACCCATCAATTTTAACGGCATGTACTAAAACTCTCGTTATAACAACTCCAAGTGGTAGTGGTATGAAACCCATACGCCTTGCAACAAGATCTGAATGATCACTGAATGCATACTTCTGACGAGTTTGGGCAACGTCATACGCCAAACTCACCGTGTACTCACGGTACACACCATATGGTATTTCATTAAACCTGGAACACATCAATAACTTACAACAACAACTGATAATTAAATCATAATATTTTCACTATCTATGGTATTTTTTCCATTATCAATAATGTAACAAACTTCCTTAAACAGCCACAAAATAATGTAATATCAAAAGTTAGTACTTTTATTGTTAAAAGTAGAATACTTTAGTGTAGACATTTTTGAAACTTACCTGGTTATAAAAGCATGTTTAACCCAGTCAATGATAACTTCAAATGTTAAAACGAGTACACAATCGGGTGCCAATATCCAGAATCTCTCCTCTTTCCACATATACTCCTTCATAGTTTGTAAGACTACTATAAAAAGCAACACGGACAAATGAAGACGCTCTCTCACATCACTGCATGATACTTGGAAGAGATTATTCTTGTCAAACTTCTTAAATACACTGCCTTTTAACTCCACAAACTGCTTAAAAAAACAAAACATTAATATAAAATTAACAAAATAATTCAATTGACATAATATTCAGAAGGAAATACAAGCTTGTTCTTTGTAATAATGATTTTAACTATCAAAAAATAGGTAAGATATCTTACTCACATTGTTTGACATCATAATGATAAGAAGACTTTTGTTATTGGAATTAAAAGCCACATTGAGTGTTGTCGCTTGGAACAGTACTAATAAACTGTGAAGAACTGGTGCTCGGTTCAGGAAAATTAGATTCTCATAAACAATGTGAACATCACACATATAAATTAAACATTAAATAAAATATTAAGAAATGTAGCAATATAATATTTAAAAAGGATACAGACATATATGATAGCAAATATTAAATGAGGAATGAGTCCGAGGTGTTCCCTTTTTCTGTCCCGTGGTTCTGTGGCTGTCCAAAAGAGAGCATCAATTGTGTCTTGACCAAAAGCAGAGAACAATCTGTCTCCGACTTCCAACATATTATAAAATATATACAGCTTCATAACACTTTGACTTTTCACTAGATGATACATCATGTTTGTATCTATATAGCACATTAATATACTACATACTAATAATATAGAACCTTTAAGTACATCACATGTCTCAGCCGGCTTCAATATACTCTGCTTTTTTTGTGAATTAAACCTACAAGTTGTATCAATAGTTAATTGTTTCATTCAATTAATAACATTTGTTAAATAGTTTATTAAGACTCACCCAAAGCACTGTCTAAAGAGTCTGGTGAAAAATGACCAGAATGCCATAACAAATCTTAATGGTAAAAAAGTATAAACAAATAACAGGGAATCTGCACATTGGAAAAATCCATATGCCATAAATTTTTCCAGTTCTTGTGGGATTTTGATGAAAGAATAAACTTTTTCTCTTCGCGCCGAAAACCTTTCTTCATCGTGTTCAAGTAAATAGCCGCGAGTAAGTTCAACGTGCAAGAATGTAACAAGAGAAGCGCTTTTATCACCATCTATATTACAAAAAGCAAAGTTAGTGTAAGGTATTTTATCGGTATATAATAGAAATACTAATTATTAATTTATAAAGTTACCTTTGATTTTTGGCCCCTTTCCACTTCTATCAGGGATATCACCGGAGCAATGTTGTATATTGGTTACGTTCTTAAAACGTAACCTTTTATTGTGTACTTGCAACTCGTCATTTTTAAGTGTCATATTAGACTCCCTCTATGTTCATCAACTATTCATAACATATCTGGCTTCGTTATTTTAATTTAAAAATATTAAAATTACTAATGTTATTCTGGTTACACGAAAATATTTTGGTTTCTGAAGTAATTTTTGACACATATGTGATATGACAGTGACTTTTTCTTACATCTCTAAAAAGGCGAAGACTTACAACGCTATGTTTATTTTTATTGAATTCGGGTATAATTGTGTCCACATAATTATTAATTTATGATATTTTTACGTGTTATTTAATATGTATTGTTACTAGTATTTAAAAATTATTTTCCATAGGATAAAATGTTTATAGTTTAAACTGTGTTATTGACACTGACAGAATGTTTGACAATTTTAACCTAAATATTTATGATTTGTGAGCAAAAGTATTCAACGGCGACACGAACGCGTCTGTAATCTAAAATTTTAAATTCATAAACGAATACTTAAGGCTTCTATATATTGTATCGACTTAACAAAAACAATATGGTCTAATAAGAAAACGAAGCTAAAGTCCTAAATCTTTATGTCAAAGGTAGGCTTTTTAAAACTAAGCAAAAGCTCTTTTTAAAGTAGTTAACAAATGATGTCGCGGCAAGTTGACTCGAATATAAGCAAGCTTCTTGATGGTAGCGGCTTAAATGGGGAAGAAAATGACGTTTGTGACTTTACAATAGCAGATCAAAATTCTGTTGCTGAATCTCAGGGTATTACCCCAACTACTCCATCCAATTTTAAACCCATACTTGGGAGTAATGTCACATACGTTGTCGCATCGGTAATATTAAATGAAAAAAATGAATTGCTTATGATGCAAGAAGCAAAAGAAAGTTGTGCTGGAAAATGGTACTTACCTGCTGGACGAATGGAAAAAGGTGAAACAATAATTCAAGCTGCAACCAGAGAGGTACTCGAGGAAACAGGCTTGCATTGTAAGTTGGATACTTTACTGATGGTGGAAACGGCTGGTGGTACTTGGTTTAGATTTGTTTTAACAGGAAATATTATTGGAGGGGACCTTAAAACACCCGCTAATGCCGACAAAGAATCCTTACAAGCAAAATGGATAGCCAATCTACAAGAAATATCACTCAGATCAAATGATATCTTGCATCTTATTGAGAAAGCTAAAATGTACAAACAAAAACCACCCGGTGTAAATTGGCACCAGCCCATTTTGCCAGCACCCATCCCACATGTTAAAGATCTGTTGAGGCTTATTGTATTAATAAAAAAGAGAAACACAAACCGGTTGCATGTACTCCTGAGTGAGAAGACAACATTACATTTTCCGACATGTGAAATAAATCCCGCTAAAAGTGTACATTCAACGCTGAGAAGGTTCATGGTTGAAATGTTTGGTGCTGACGTCGCTCAACATAGGCCTCTAGGGCTTCTGAATGTAGAGGCCGATCCTAGTGCTGACGGATGTTGTCTTACATTACTAGTAGCATTTCGGCCGCCCCTCGAAGAAGTACCTTTAATCGGAAAATGTGCCTGGCATGAATTGTCACAGGATATTGAAAGGCAGCTTATTCCCATAGTCACATCAAAGAATTCTACTATCGAGTTGCATGTGGTTCGCTGATTTGATAAATGTAATTTCCATATTTGAGCTCTTACAGGTTTTATATTATACCTGATAATTTAATTTGGCTCTATATTTTTTAATTATTTACTAACAACTTTGTTATTTCTTTCATATAATCATTATTGTGTTCAACGCATGACTGTTTAACATTCCAAAATATATGACATAATATAATTATGATAAAATTACAATAATCTTAAATATGTTACAAGGATTGATGTAATGTTAGTAACATTAATTATATCATGAATAAACTTCAAATGTATTATCTGGTGATGGTAAATAGCTTTAGCGTAGATTTAAAATTAAATATATGTACTTAATACAAGATCTGATATATACAAAACAAAATCTTAAATTGTTAAAAAATATGTTCAAAATATAACTTATTTTCTTATTATATAGAAATCTCAGATATTAGGTATATATAGTACAACAATATTTTCATACCAAATTATGTATGGTGCTTTTAGTTTACTTAGGTTATTTTAATAAATACAGTATGTACCAATTTGTATTTTTTATCACTCTTTAACATCATATCACGTTAAAAGATATTATTTTATTGTTAAACAAATTATTGTAGATATCAAGACATAAAATAAACAATATATTTTATATCTAAGCAAGAATTTTACTTTACTGTCTTAAATAAAACGAATATTTTCGATTTCCTACCACAACATGAGAATGAAAATTCTCATCTCGTCTGCCCGTGGTCACGGTTGCTGAAAAATAACCGAAACGTGGAGAGTATGTAGTTTTTAAAAATAATAAAATACGCGAAGTTATCCGAAAATATAAGTTTCATTTCAAAAAAATATTTGCGAGTCTTAGATCTCATTACTTTATTACCTCCTGAATGAAACAGACCACTCATTAACATAGTTTTATGAAGTAAAGAATCTAAGTATGTAATATATAATATATATTTAGTCCAAGGTTTACGTAGCGATTACTAATACAACAACTTAACTTGTAGAACTACTTTCAAAACTACGATTGTAGACTTAAACCATAACAGACGCTTAAATGTAAAAGAAAAAGTGATTGCAGAGAAAACAGAAAAACAATTCTGTGGTTATATAGCCACTAATAGATTTATAATACCACCACTTTGTGTGCGTATTAATGATTTCGTAACATTTAACGGTAATTGAAAATATATTTAAGTTAACGGCCCATTTCATAAATACATATAAACATCGCTGTAATACACTTATTAGAGTGACATGTACTGGTTATTCTTATAAAACCTTTGTTTGAGTTTGAGTTTAATAAAATTTGTAGATGCAGAGTGCTAGGTAAAACTCAAATCAAATGCCCGTGTCAATAGCAGGCTTCTATTCCGCTAAACGGGCACATATACGTAATATCGCTTAACCATCGTCCGGGCCGCATAACCGGCGTCATAGCAGTTCATATGGCGTCCCAAAAATAACGGTAGGTAGTCATCTTTAAACTGGAATTCTCAAATTCGATACGATATTAAAGAACAAAAAAAATTAAATCTGCTTTTTGTGCAAAATTTTACTTGTCAAGGCTTATAGTAACATTATTTTTACAAATATATCCCGAGGGAACATAAGTGCATAATATGCTAATGCTAAAGCGCTGTACTGTTACTTAAAAATAATTATTATGAACAACCAAAGTAAGCAGACTCGTTAAAAAATCCAACTCAAAAGAATGTAATAACGGAATGTTAGGTACATAGTTTTTATAAAATATGGTAAAGTATAAATCTTTTAAAAATTGTTCCTTTTCAGGATGGTATCAAATGTCATGTCGATTTTGGCTTTATCTATAAGTACAATCAAAAAAGGTTCTCACTGCTTTTTAATTTTTTTACCTTTAAATAAGTTATGAACTCTTACATTCGAATCTTAATTCGAGAAATTAGTTGAAGAAAAGAAAGTGCATGAAAGCTGCTTTTGAGAAATCATAATTATCTATCTTTAAAAAATCAATGTAATTAGTAAATGGTTTGTAAATTGTCTAAAGTTGAGAAAAGTCTACATATTACGGAATTGTTCTATCACTCATCGGACGAAACGCAACCCTAAAAGATTACTTCACTTTTGTGTGAGAGTGGTACTTCACGGCAGAGCCACTCCATGTTCGAGCTGTAGTTACTTGACCAGAGTTAGGTTCTATCACCTTAAGAAGAGAGGCCCCAAGACGTGCATTGCCTAGGGGCCCCGACATGCCTAAACCGACTCTGCATGTTAGTGTTTTCCCATGCCTTCAAATTTTAACACATAGGAGATCTTGCTTGCTTGGTGGAATTGCTTAAAAAGATTTCTCGTCGTTAGTGGACGCTTTCAGGATGTATGAACGTTCTCAAAGCAGTCTCACTGAGCTTATTCTTCAATTTATACCATAGAATAATCATTGAAATTGTGGATATTTAGAAAATCGTTTTGCTGTGTGCCTATTCAACCGGGCTTAAATGACGTTCTTTAGTGTTAGAAAAGAAAATCATCTGATACCAAAGGGAATTCAGTCGACTATCTCGTTTGTTTTATTAGTCAGCATCAGATATGACAAAGCCTTGGTAAAGTCCACAAGCAAATTTAATTTCAATATATGTACCTATATACGTGGACATGTTTGTGAGCCGCATAGAGCTGTAAACTTGTTTATTAGATTAATCGTTATACGTAAAATCCAAGAGGAGTACCTGCTAATAAATCATCACGGTCCAAGATGAGTGGACTCCCGATACTTTCCATTTAAGGACGTTTTAGTTAGACCTTTATGAGCAATGAAAGAAGGAAAATTTGGAACAATGAAAACACAGTTCTCAAAAATTTATTTTAAGTCCCTACTGATTACGATTAGATTATTTTGAAATAAAAGACTGTCTAGTAAAGAATCACCACTTAAAACTATGACTATAGATCCAACAACTGATTTAGGTTTGATAACTTCTGAATGAGGCTCTTTGTACAATAAACTAGTTTTATCGTCGTTTTATTCATTCATAAACAGTTAGGGATATCAACACTATAAAAACTCTCCTTTCCCTTTTAATTAAACATCAATCTTAAAGTGATGAGTAAATCAAAACTAATGTATGATTTTAAATATCACAACCTGTATAAAATTTTAAATAAGGTAAAATCAACATTACTTACTAGAAAGTTACACTATGGACTTAGAATCCGTAATGTGTAACGGTGAAATAGTAAGGACGTGGAACAGAAATCTAGGATCTTGCATTACACTTTAATAATATTAATATGTTATTTATTAATTAATTAATATTTAATTTTTAGACGAACTTAAATGGATTATATGGGAATACAAACAGATTCTGATGGCAACATAATTTTTTATTTTGGTTGAACGATAAACTTTTAAATTAAATAGTTAAATTCTTATTTGTCAATTAATTATTTTTGTATTGTACTTTCATTACAATCCTACTAATATTATAATTGCGAAAGTTTGTGAGTGTGTGTGTATGTGTATGGAAATCCCGAAAATCCGCGGGTAACACCGCGGGGTGCAGATAGTATGTCTATATTTTGTAATTTACAAGAAAAAATATAAAGAACAGGTAAGATAGTGAAAGATCATAGCTAGGTACCTACATCATTTTCAGTCCATTAGTAATGGGTCCAAATTTGAAATACCTTTAATAACAGTATGTAAGTTTAGATTATTCACTTTGTTTACCCTTCGTTAATATTATATTACAATAAATAATAACGTTATCAGTAACCGTAAAAGTTAATACAAAGGGCATCATCAGATATAGTGTAGAACTTCATTCATGATATTTTTTCACATAAGCTTGGAAGCTTCGGGCAGTAAATAAATAAACAACTTTTATTAAATCCTATGATATATGCGTGATAAGCTGTTTTAAAAAAAATAGTTCTTAAAGGATTCCTATATAATGTAATAGATAAAAAACTCGTGAAAGTACGATCAGGAATTTAATATTGTTTAAAATTATTTTACCGGTTCAGTAACATTCTAAATTAGGTGTTTCTAATAAATCAAGAATATTATGCAAAATCAATGAAAGTGGAAACTCCGAATACTGTGGAATTTCAATTACATGTAATTGGAGCTCGTCAAACAGGTGATGCTTCCGTAGTACAGTCAACATAATATATTGAACATATTAAATTCATTTATCGGCTGCAACATATGCATTTGGCTCAATAAAATTCCACGGTTAATATCGTCCATGTAAAAAGATTGAGCCAATTGAATGTTTCATATTTTAATATACACACTCTATAATATGTGCAATAGCTTATCTTAGCGTTCTTAATTAATGAAGGAAACTTTTTAAAATAGCTATTTGGAACACTCAAAGCTTTTGATTACAAGTAGTTTTCAGTGATAATTACTTAATAAAAAGAAGAATTAATGGGGCCACACAGAGGAAAGTGTAGTGATGGCCTTTATCCTTGGAGAGGATTACACCGCAAGTAAAGGGTTTCGACAAAAGCCTGAAGAGGAAGGCTGCCATGGGATTTTGGGGATCATGACGGTCACGCCTGCAGGCTTGGAACCACCCTACCCACCTCTACAAAATAAAAATGTCGTGTGGTGAAAGTAATTGCTCTAACCCAACTAATCAAGGATATCTCTAAAATTTTAAATAGAATATCCCGAATATTAAGTATTTATCTTATTAATTAAGAATATTTTGAATTTGTCTACTTACCTACGTCATACGTGTGGCTTTCACGAAATCAATAAGCTGTTTCAAATAAGGAAAATTCTTACCAAACTTATGTTTTGTATTATCCCTTAGCTTATCAGACACCAAAATAAAGATATTGTTAAAATTAAAACATTACAGTGTTTGAAAATGTGTCCTCAACTCTCTGTATCCACTTGTAATTTTAATTTTTTTTTTAAATGTAGGGTCTGGACGTAAAGATATTTAAGTAATTATTTCTAATTTACAGCCTTCAATTATTCTTAGAAATCCTCGGAGGTATTAATACCTACCCGAGGAAAAATAGGTATATACAATCCTATGTATTTGTATTAATCGCTTGAGACGATTGCCTACTTTAGTATACAAAAGTAAACACACACTTTGGTATACACTATGAATAAAAGTCTAGAAAGTTTCTGTGTTTAGATTTACGATTCAAATTTATATTGTTACTGTTATCTGTATATAGGTACATACTTATGTACATTGAAATGCAAGAAATTGTGATCTCAAATTATAGTAATTTAGGAAAAACAACGGATTTCGAATTAAGATTAAGAAATATTTGGATTGAGAGTATAGAGGCAAGAGGTTTGAAAGTATTTTTTAAATAACCATAAAACTATACATATATTGTTTAGTAGTGGTCATTTTATGGTAAATGAATGATCTGAGTTCATGAAAACAGACTAAACTTTTGACGCTTCTAATCAGTTTTACTAAAAATTTTAATTTTTTTAAGACTTAATTTTTTATAATGTTATCTTCGTTATATAAAATATAGGGCTACACTTAAACGTTAAATTGTTAAATTAAGTAGAACACGTCACAGTTATAATATACATATACACACCTATACACAATAGGCACTTAAAATGTTGTTTGGTAAAAACTCGACATTCCTTACCACATTTTTTTCTAGCATTGTCTAAGTTGATCTGAATAAATAAATGATCATTATTTTGCATTATTAGGTATACCTACCTAATAAAAAAAACTAGAAGAATCGTATTCATTACAAATATTAACCGACTTATACCTAAAACGCGATCTGTTTCAAGAAATAAGTACCTAGTTAGAGTATTTCAGTAGGTCCTCAGTTTAAAACGAGTTCTTCAATATTTATCTATACTTCCAATTTTTACTTCCATTATGTTACATTTTTGTCTAATCGCTAATTAATTATGACCTATACAAGTTTTTTTTATATTTAATCAACAACAGAGTGCTTTTAATAAGTAATTAACACTACTATACCACATTAAAAAAATCTTTAAAGGTCATTAGAACCGCTTTATTTTGTTTGGCTTTTTGCGTTCTAGTAATTCGTAAAAAATATAGCAAACATTCTAATTACGGTCCAAAGCCCTTTATACGCATTTCAGATGGGTATAATTAGATGCAATAAATATGTATAGGTACGAACCAATAATATCATTTCAAAATCACCTTTAGTACAACTTTTTTATCATCAACAAAAAGTGAAAACATTCTCCATGAATAAGTCATCAGTATTACGAATATATCTCATTTCTACTAAATTATACCTAATATTGAACCTGTATTAAGTGCTGACACGATTACCTATAGACCGTATAAAATAGATTTGATAGAATGTTTGTTTTAAAGCTTTTTATTACGAACACAGACACTAAAACACCTATTAGTTCAAGTACACTAATACAGCTATTGTATGTAGTCGTAAACGGTGACAGACACTTTTCATCAGAATTACATATATTTTGTTGTTCGTCGTCTTTTAAAATAAAAAAAAGTATTTTAATCCATCTAAAATCAACATGGAAACCATTTTTTTTAGTCATATATTTTTATCCAAATAGTACTAGCCACTAGGCTATAAAATAAAATGAAAAACTACTAATGTAAACACGGGAACTTTTTTAAATAATAAACATTAAACATTTCAATGATTTATTTAAGCGATACAAATACAAAATCCTACTTTGACTAGAAAATCAAAGGCTTGTTTGATAATAAAATTCAAAACCTTTTATTGCATAGTAACATATCTCTTTATGGAATACCCACAGATTGTCTCACATTCAAATAAATTAACACAATTTTTGGCAAAAACAGCAAAATAAAATAAAGTTGCCCTGCAAAATTAAGTATGTCGAGTTAAGAATTTGTTTTCAAATAGGTGTAAGGCTGTAAATATTAAACAAAAGGTTATTTTTTTGTTACACCCAAAATTTATATTTTCCTTTCTATGAATTTAACGAGAAGTTAGCTAAAATCATATTAAGAATTCAAGTTAGAAAATATAAAAAATTATATACCAAGTCAACACATATATTAAACCCAAAACAGATGAAATAACAGCTAATAGTGAATTACATAATTTTAGAAGCTATATGTATTCTAATAAGTATGTTTTATTTAATTATTAATTAACAGCAGCTATAAATACATCCTTGATTTGACATGATTACATTAACAGCTAATACAGATGGTGAATAAAAAAAATTAATGAGTACACAGATTTAAAAGCTAACGTCTTTTGGTATCTTTATAAACAATAAGGTTTTTTTTATTAGATTAAGGCAAAAATCTAAAAAAAAACTATTTCATCCATACTTAACCTACACTAATACTGCTACATCTAAAAATGCATTTGTGTGAAAGACAATATTTTTTGTGGTAACACATCTTAAATTTAAAGCATATTAAATATTTATATACATTTTGTACAAAACAATATAATATTATGTCATGCGTTATAATAAAATAAATTTTGATCAACAATAAGTTATAAATGAATAGCCTTCATTGACTTTAACATAGTAAATTTTAATTAAGCCAAGTAACATTTGTATCTGAGTAAAAAACTTTTTAATATGAGATAATTCATAGATGACAATAACAATAATTTTATATCAGAATATTTCATAACAGAAGCAAAAATTGCACAAAAAAATCTTATAATTTAGTAATTTTACCAATATAGTAACTATATGTCATGTGATTGCAAGTAATAAATAAAATTCATGTAAATATTAATATATTCTATTTCATAGATGTTTAATCTTATTGCATACTGTTACAAATCGAACAGATCTTGTATTGGGATGAAAGGTTCATTGACCCTAGTTGTGTCGATTAACTGAATCATTATCCATCTAACTGTATACCTTGAATCCATGTATTAAGATCGTTGGATTGAGGGCAGTCTAGAATGTTCTCTTCTATTTCAGGTGCTAGAAGTCTTCGGGCTGCAATCTGACCAGATAAGTATGCACCATGGACCGTTGAGTAGAAGCTACTATGTGTGTGTTCTCCGGCAAAAAGCACTACAGGCTGAAAAATATCAACACTTTGTTACTGTAATAATTTTATTAATATATCTTCATTAATTCGTAAATTATTTTGTTTGTAACATAAAACAATAATGTACTTCTTCAATCAACCATCTTTCTGAACTAAGTAGAGTATCAAAGTTTTTTTTAATACTTTTAGTCTTAAGAAGTTGATTAATTAATACAAAAAAAATTGTCTTCATTAATGACATCTAAACTGCTTGCTACTACTTTTTTACTGTTTTGTAATTTGTTACAACATTGTCATTCATATTACAAATTTTTATATCTTTATTGTTTTGACTTAACAGTCATTAATTTTTATTAAATATTTAAAAGTGATAGGAAAATTCAAAATTATTACAACCAGGATTCAAACATGTGATATTTAGAATATCACTTTCTAGTTGTTTTGCCAAATGAGTTGTAGCATCCTTCAAGGTAATTATTATATACTTATGTAATATATACATAAATAAATATATAATTATTCTATATATATAATTAAGTATAATTATAGGGTAATTTATATAAATATACTTAATTATATGATTATTCATCATAAATTAAAGTTGAAATAAAAATTATCTAAGAAAAGTATAATCTCCTGATATAACCAAATCTCTAAATTAATTTATACCTTTTTATCATGAACATTTCTAAATAAAGGTTGTGACAAACTTTCAATGTCACTTTGACTAGCTCCCACTGCAATCGCTGTATAGGAACCTTGTGTATAAGGCTGCTTTTTCCAATTAGTACTGAAAAAAAAACATCTTAATATAAATTTCACAATATTTCATTGCAATCAAGAAGAAACACTGTCTTTAAAGAAACTACTAATACTAATATATCAATATTACATGTCAGAAAATATAAGTCTAGTTAAAATTAACATCCTGACTTTCAAGTGAAGTTTAAATAAGCTATTTTATTTTTTATCTTATACTTAAAATCCACTATATAAAATTTAGTTTTAAAGACCTCTTACATAAACTGACTGACTGGAAATTTTCATTCTCTTCTATAATTGGAAAAGCTTACCAACTTATAAAATAACTTTTATTAAATATATATTAAATTAAAATGCAGTTTTTACTGACCATACACAGGTTTGCGGTTCAGGAACGAATGGGTCATTCAAGAATTTCCTCAATATCATTGTACAAGTAGATCCCACTTCCTCCATAGATAATGTTTCCAAATATTCAGCCTCTTTTCCGGACACCCAACCTAGCAGTAATGTCTCTGTAACCTTAACAAATGAATAGATTTTTTTATACCACGATTTTGATATATCCTCCGATGTTGTGTTATCCCATAGTAACATAATTTCTGTAATGTCCGGATTGAGGAATGGCCTCTCGTATTCTAGGAAAATTTTATCTACAGCACCAAATAATAATCTCTCTATTGACTCTAATTTATACTGGGGTAATGAAGGCTGAAATAATGTGTTAGCTTTGCTTTTAAGGACACCCAATGGTATAGTACATATCACATGATCAGCGTAGAATTTTTGTCCATTTTCACACAACACTTGGACACCTGTGTGTTTACTATTGAATTTCTCTTGATTACTTAGTTTACTGTCCGCTGAATCACCAGCTCGCTCCGATGTCGATACTCTTGATATATCTTCTATCACAGTTTTATCAGAGTCCTCGGATTCCTCTCCAACATCATCTGTGTTTCTCAGACTACTATGTCTCTCTGAGTCCCATATAATAGTTTCCACTGGATGATTAGACAAAATTTGTTCAGGTTTAATATTTTTCGTCATAGGGCCTAATATTTTACTAAAACCAGATGGTATAACAATGTTGCCACCCTGTAATTCAGTGTAACTTCCTAATTCTAATAAATCTACGTCATCCATCGAGTTGCATCCAGAAATACAAGTCTCACGTCTCAGCAAACAGTCAAATATTAATCTTCTCAATTTTTTCTCTTCAGAGTTTGGTAGACGTTCGAGATAGATGGCTGCTTCTAAATTTATATGTTCACCAACACTATTTATGTCAGGGGGTGGGAGATATTGACATAAAAAATATTCCTCACAACGTCTTAAAAAACAAACATAAGCTTCGTGAATTTCATGTAGTACACCAAAAGGCACCTGCTTACCGTCTTCTGTAGCAGCGATAACCTTATGAGGTTTGGGTATATTGATTATATTTATTAGCCCATTTGCCATGGCCAATTCATATATTGGATTTCCTAAAACACCATGTATATAGTTCGCGCCCAGTTCAACATGATGATTTTTTAATGGTATCCCGATAATCCGTCCACCGATACGTTTTCGGGCTTCCAATATTATAAAGTCTTCCATGCCATTCTTCAAAAAATGATTAGCGGCGGCTAGTCCTGCCATACCGCCACCAATTATTACTACATTATATTTATGTTCTTCACATTTCTTACGAGAATTTAAATTTTCGTCACCCATAATATAAAAAAGCAGAAATTGTTACAATATTTTGTCACTAGGCTTTTGACACTCAGTCAGCTGTAACTTCGAACTGAGGATATAATCTGTAAAATTTATGCAGATAACTAAAACCTTATATATTAATTTATTTTTATTTTATATCTTTCTTATTTGATATGTTCTTTAAATTACGTCATAGAGTTTTACTAAGGAGAATTTTTATTATTAATCATTACGAATATTCACATGTATTGGTCTCACTGACAGTGTGTTATGTTGATATTTCTTATGTTGGCAACATCAAGAAATCCTGCACCCCACTTCCTCACTTCTTATCCTGCTAATTTTATTGTCGCCATCTCTGTCTGTGTCATAAAATGTGCTATTGCTGTCTTTCTCAGTTGACCTTTGAATATTTTGCTGAATAATAATAATATAAATCTTTGTTTACTTCGCAACTTGCGCGAGTGTTTTTGTTATTGTAGACGTGAGTAAAAATATTATCAATTGTAGATCCAAGAGCTCGAACATTTAAATGATAAAGTGATGTTCTGAAAAACTATTTTGAAGATGTGATTTGTAAATTTACAACCAGTTGTGAAAATCAATTATTGTAGATTAAAGCGAGTCATTGTGAATAATCATATACATATTTAAAATTTATTTAGTGTGAACTATCGCGTTAGTGGTTTCGAATTATGTAATAGAAAAATGAAATCGATTCCTTTTGGAGTTTCAATTTCAATGATCCATAATTACGCTAAAGTTTATTATGTGTAAATTTTCGAAATAAATAAACATTGTAAGTTATGACACGTGGGTCTCAGTGAATTAAAATCGATAAAGACGTAAGCGTGCGCCAGTCTATAAGCGAGACGATTCTACGTCAAGGTCATTATATACAAACACGTGCAATGTCGGATTCTATTTACACTTTTGACTTTCTTTTAGAACCGAGTTTAGAGATAAAACAAGAGTCAAACTTCGAGTTGGGCGCGATGTCAGCATCGGTGCCAATTCCACAGAGGCGCACAGAGCTTGCAGATTTTAATACTGACTTAGATTTGTGTCTGCAAGACAATCAGATTGGATCATTCCACAGTGTTCCCACATTACCCTACAACAAATTTAATTTCGAAGCTGATTCATCAAGGATGGAGCCTTTCAAAATGGAGGATGATGATATATTCCAAGTAGACAAAGCTGATTTAGTGTTAGGTCCAACTTTGGCAGAGTTAAATGCAAATCCAGATACATCTTTGGATGATCTCAATTTCGATGATCTGCTCTTGCCAGAGGAGAGTCGCTACTGTTTACAGATAGGTGGAGCGATGAGTGGTTCAAAGAACTCTCCAAATGTTTTCCAAACAAACACATTGACTTCCGAGAGTCCCTGTAGCCCTTATGGTAGAGCTCAGTTGGCTTTCTCGCCGTCTAGTCAGCATAGTTCAGCATCTTCGAGTTTTGTTCCCCCAATGAATCAATTACCAGAACTTCTCCTAAGAATGGATGGTTACAGTGGCGAAATTGCTCTTGGACAATCGGTCCCAGCTTCATCTGTTCTGCCACCATTCCCACCTAGCGTTAAAACCAAAGCACAATTATCCTCATCGGCTCCCACACATTTAACTATGGACCAGGTAAAGAAATAATTATATGTACCCTTAAGTATAAGATGAATGTACCAGAAAACTAAATAATAGTCATATTACAATGTATATATTTAATTAACATACAATCAATTTGAATAATAAATCAATTATATAAACTTATGAAAGGGAATCTTTAATTAATGACATTACATAGTTTAATCCAATAAAAGAAGTTTATAAGGCAATATTTTTATATTACAATCATTACATTTTGTGTACCCTTAATATTATTAGATATGGCAACGTCGGGAGCCAAGAAAACATTTACTTTCCACGAGTTCTCTCGCTGAAGCAGGATCAGTATCTTCTTTGTCCGGAGGACTTCTTAGTCCGGGAACTGGAGATTTCTCTCAAGATGAAGATGACAGAGATGTAGAATCTGACGAAGACAGCGATCGATATGAGGATCTTTCATCTGATGGTAAATCATTTCCTTATAATTGTTTTTGTGAATGCAATCTATTAAAATATTTTATCAGAAACCTGTTTTCGAATACTATGTTGTCATAAACAATATATTATTGTCATTGAATCATAATAAGACTGGTATAAGAATGTCATTCATATAATTGTTTTTAACATAGCTTGTTAATATATTATGCCATTCTTTGCAATTTATTAGAGAATACAAAATATAAAGGATAAGATTTATAACAATTATCTTAATATTATTTTTATATAAATTTTAATTAATAATTTCATATCACATAATAATAGATTTAAATTACAAATGCAGAATCAAATGATGAATGTCCTGAGCGTAAAGAAGCTCGTCAGGCCAAAAAAGAAAAATACTTCTGGCAGTACAATGTACAGGCTAAAGGTCCGAAAGGTCAAAGATTAATACTAAAGAAAAAATCAGAAGATCCACATGTACTAAATCTAGTTACAGACCCTGTATTTAGCCCCAACTGCAATGTGAAAGGCATAAAACACAGGTGATTAAAAAAAACTTATAATCTTTGTCTATCACTGCAATCAATATAGAGATACCAAGCTTATAACAAATACTTAACATTTTTTTCTTATTAAATATTATAATATTCGTCTGAGTAATACATAATTGGATTTAAATAAATATCTATGCCTACAATATACATGTTCAGTTGTAGTTTAAATTTAACATTTTATTATGTTATTATTTATCACAATTATTTTTAATTTTCAGTGGGAAGGCAAGAAAAGGTGATGGAAATGATTTAACACCGAATCCCAGAAAACTATATCTCATCGGTTTGGAACTAGATAAATTAGGAAAAATTATTAATGATATGATACCAGTCAGCGAATTGCCATTTAATGTTCGACCGAAAACCAGGAAAGAGAAAAATAAACTGGCCTCGAGAGCTTGCAGGTTAAAGAAAAAAGCTCAGCACGAGGCTAATAAATTAAAACTATATGGATTACAACATGAACATAGTAAGTACACTCCTATATCATTTCAATACTACCCCAAAACCATAGATTTATCATTAAAAATCTATAGATTAAAATTATTTGTAAATCAATACACATATAGACTAAAGAGTTCATAATATAAATAAGAAGAAATTTACAATATATAAGAAAATAAAAGGTCATTCACATGATAAAAAGATTCCTATTAACTGATTTATCAGTATCATTAAATATAATTTCTGTAGTCATTTTGAGTAACAAAAATTATTCATTTAATAACCCAGATAATGCTTTTAGCAATAAGCGGCATTTTAATGAGGTTTAGATAAAGATATTACTAGTTCATATTTCATCACTCATATGACACAAACTGTGTACAGTAATTATTATTATTTTATATAGATCAAGAAATATTATTTATAAGCATATATAAATAAAATGTTTATTTAATTTGATTATTTAACAATTAAAACAAACAAATTAAATATTGGTTAGTATTTAAAACTGCCTTTTAAATGTTAAAAAACTCTAGTTCTATAAACTTTAAATATAATCTTCCAACTGGATTTAAAAAATATTCATTTGAATATCTACCAATTATTATTTGTTTATTTAGAACTATCATATATATTTTCAGGACGACTCCTCAATGGAATAAATCAAGTGAAACAAATACTTTGCAATAGGGTAACAAATCCGGATAACAATGTTGATTGGTCTTCACATGTACAGACTTTAGTTAATACAGCTACTGGTGAGTATTTACTATATATATACACAAACACACACACATGTACATCTATATATGGATGTGTATGTATATATCTTAATTATAAACTCTACTGTTCTTCAAATGTGACATGCTATCAAATTTTTTATTTATTACAGAGGTAAAAATAGCTGGCAAAACATCAGAGTTTGTCAACAAAATAGTGAACAATGTGAAGTCTGGACAAAATAATGGCGGTTTGAACGAAATATGAAGGTAAAAAACCAGATTTACGAATATTATAACGAAAGGCTGTTTCAAGTACCTCCAAAGTTGTTTAGAAAAGAGAAAACTATTATCACTCATATAAACTTTAATTGTCCAAGACAATTTTATTTTTATAGGGTTCGAAAATAAATGTAGCTTGTATGAATATTACAAGGCAACTAAAAAAAAAACTATGAAATAATTCTCATAAAAATTTAGAATGTTTTGTGTTGTGTATGTATCATTTAATTAATTGTTTATTCATATAAATAATATAGATTAAGTTAAAATGTTAGCCAAACACTAGTTTTTACTTAATTAAGGACTTTAGATTCTCATAAAATCATCTTAACTGTTACATGGATAAAATCCTAAGATTATTGTTTTATAAATATTATGTAGATTGTTGATAATTTTAATTACATCTATTTATGAAACTGCTTTATTTTTGTATATATTTTATGAATATATTAAAAATGTTAGTTGTAATACATATATTTTAAACAAGAAATGATTTGTATGTTATCTTCATTTGTGAATATTGTCTATACTTTAGAACATATCATTTTGTCTACTCATTTAAATGAATATCAAAATTTTATGTACAAATTTAAAGTTAATTTTTAATACATTTATTAATAGTGTTCCACCTTTAAAAGATTTGTTACAATAATAGTTTCTATTTGATTCAGTATTTTCAAATAATTCTGTCCATTGATTAAAAAAAAATGTATGTTTAATTACAGTGACCAATAATTTCACCATTTATTTGTTATTATCATATCACTAAGTATTATATAGAGGGAATTATTTCCTCTTGTCTATTTTTATATGTTCATTCAATTATCATTAGAACATAGTGATATCTAAAAATATACAAAATAAGCGTATATAATACTTATAAGGTTATATATTAAGTACATATTTTATCTAGAGCTATTCTTTTTACATGTGTATGATATGAAAGCATATATTTTTTTTATACTCTTCTTACATTTTGTATTGAGGTCACAGAATTTTAAATGTCACAGTTGTGAATGAAACTCACTATTTTTATATTATATTATAGGAATTTTAAAATGTCTATGTATTTAAAATTAATCCAATATTTTAAATACTTGTAGCAATTATATGTGTATCGTATATAACAGTATGTAAACTCATCTAAAAAAATACTTTTCTTCCAAAGTGACAGTTTTAAGTATTTTGTATATTCGATGTTAGATATACTATTTTTATAAACTATCAAATTCATTGTACAAAAAAAAAATAATTATATCATCATTAAATTAGTTGCATCAAATAACAGTTATCTTAAAGTACAACATATTAAATAAAAATAAAACATATATTGGAAAAGGTTTGGTAATAATAATATTAGAAATAAGTATATTACCATTATACATGTATATGTAATAAAATGTAACATCTTAAATGTCTTTATATCTTTAGTTCAGTGTTTTTTTATAATAACTTGCCACATATTCTTCTGCTAAGTTATTGTTTAAGTTGAAACAATATAAAAGGTTTTAAAGCAGTTATTTATATATTATTTTTTGTACATAACATATTATGTTAATGAATAATGTTACTGTGTTATGTACCAATGCTATATAAAAGGAACTTAACTGGTCTGCGATCCATAGGCTGTGCTTATCTATATACAATCTTTAAGTTTATTATGTTATATCTTTATTAATGAATTATTTTATGTAAAACTTATTGTTTTGTGTTACATGTGACAAATCTATTGAAATAATCAGATTGTTTTAAAATTAAAACCAATAAAGTGTAATACAAAAACTGTTTTATTTATTAAATGTATAGATTTGAATTAAGAATACTATTTGGGTGAGTGTTGCATTTCTGTACTATTTTTAAATGTTCCAATAGCTTCTGGATCTCATCCGTTTGATACTCTTCACTGTGTTCGATATAGTAAACTAATGCACTGGCCGGCAAGTCTAAATGTTCCCTTAAACATAAAACTGAAAAAAAAAGAATTTATTTATTTTTTATAACCAAAAAATTTATTGAGATTCAGAAATATATTTGATTTCATACCGCCAGCATTGACTCCACAAATAATGTTGGGTTGTTCAAGTTTCGGAAAATTTAAATTAAAGGTTTCATCAAGTTTTTTAGAGGGCCCTGTGTTTAATTTTTTCAGTACCAAGGGCTGACTTGTGATATTATCAGTTTGATATTCCGTTAGTGGTTTTGTCTGAATTGTAATAACATCTTTACTTTTCATGATAATAGGCTTCAATAACTCAACAATCTCACTACTTTGTAGGAGTTTGTAATCCTTAAGGGTGCAGACGTATCTATGTGAAGATTTGATTTCAAAAAGAAGTAAATTTGCTTCTAAAACTGTGTTGACCAATTCTATGTAGTTTTTATGTTGTAACCTTATACAATCAGATAAGTATTTTCCTTCAAGAACAAATAGTGCATCAACTATATCTGGTATCAAAAGAGGTTTGTGCCATTGTAATCTGAAAATAAACTGCATATTATAGAAATTTGAGGTTTGGTTATTGACTGAATGAAGAAAATTATAATTTTAAATATTGCCTACATATTCCCATTACTATCAGGTATTTCGTCGTCCCAATCTTCCCACGTCGTCCTGCTATTTGGTTCACTTATTTCTCCAAATGTACTCATTCTACTTTTTTTTATTACAAAATATTTGTTTTATATTTTAAAATATGGTACTGGAATATAATCCAAAAAGCGGAATATTTCAATATTAGTTTTACACAGATTTCATTTAACAATGCCTATTTTTGATGTCAGGGGTTATAAAGGGTAAAATAGTTTATAATTGAACAATTTGAAAATGAAATTATTTCGAATATGCTGACTAGTGACAGTTGCTGTTAGTTTACACTTTACAGAGTATATTATTTTATCTCCAGCTAGGGATTGGAAAAAGAAGAATTTAATTTAATAATACATAAAATTCTTATATGATTATTCGTTAAAAGTTTATATGATATTAAATTGGGGTACATATCTGTCTCAATTAATGATATTTTGTATCTAGCGACCTTGAATTGACATGAAAATTTTATGATTTTCTTACAAAAAAAAAATTGAAAGTCTGTTAACATCGACCATTGCCAACCCTACAAAATGGCAGGAAGAGTAAGCGTAGTTTTCATTCTCAAAATCGTTTTGGGAGACTAGACAAACGGATAAAATAAGTCTGGAACAAAGCATATGTTATAATTATTAATGATATTATGTTTTACAATCTTAGCTAAGGAACGTTAAGGATTAGATATTTTTATTAAAATACAATACCGTGTAAAAAACCATGTTAAAGGTGCATAACTAATGCTATTAAATTTATAGAAATAAGTTGGTTTATTAACTTTTCATTTTTTAGGATAAAGGACAAGTCACATTTGAAGATAAATGGCCATCTATGCGGCCTATAGTACTGAAGCTTTTAAAGCAAGAAGCAGTCACACAAACCGAATGGCAAGATCTTTTTGGCGCAGTGCACTCTGTTTGTTTATGGGACGAAAGAGGTCCTTTAAAATTAAGAGATGCTCTACAACAAGATATAATGATGTACATTAAACAAGCCCAGGTGCGTGTGCTTGCTCAACGTGAAGATCAGGCTCTTTTGAAGGCTTACATAGCTGAATGGGGCAAATTTTTTACACAGTGCAATTATCTTCCTACACCTTTCCGCCTGCTAGAAGGCTGTATTACAGTTATCAGTAAGGTTTCCAGCTCAAATGCAAATAATTCTCAAAAAAAGAACAATAACAATAATCTTGAAGATAGCTTAGTTCGAAAACTGATGTTAGACTCTTGGAACCAAAGTATTTTTATGGATATTAAACAAAGATTACAAGATTCTGCTATGAAGCTTGTACAAGCTGAGAGAAATGGTGAATCATTTGACTCTCAACTTGTTATTGGAGTCAGGGAATCTTATGGTATGTAGTAATTACATTTTTTAATAATATTATTGTTTTTTTTTTTAAGTATAATCTCTAAAGATTTACATATTTTTTCATTCATCACTGACAATAAATTTTCAACTAAGTAGAACAATATTTAATATATTGTGACCCCAGTGTTTTTTAAATACTCTTTCATTGATTTAAAATATTTGGTAGCTTTCTTAGACAGAATATTGTGCATCACAATGAAGCCATAAAGAAATGTAGACCACACTTTAGATCACCTCTTATTCATTATATGTAAAATGTTTATGGATTATTGTTCAAGGACTTGGAATAAATGTTAATATTTAACTCTTAGATGCTTTGTAATTCTGTATGTTTTATAACATATCTTTAAAAAACTTATTTGTCCATAATTTAAATGAAATATTTTACACAAAGTATTATTTATCACAAATATGTAGATTACAAATTATATTGATTTATTAAGAACAAGTATAGCTGTTAAGTGAAAGGTGATCTTGACGGTCTGTAGGCAATATTTCTATAAACTTTAATTTTTTTATGTATCAAACTTTTAATTATTTTTTTTATAATCAAACATCCTTATGAACTATCAAGTTATCACTTGCAAGTTATTAACATCTTAGGCTTTAAATTCTTTGTTTTTTAAATGTTTTCTATTGTAACTATCCATTAAACATTAATGTCCTTCAAAGTGTTTGTCTAATATGTAAACAACTGAATTTAAATAAATCTACATTTTCCAATATAAAATACAAGAATTTTTCATGGTTCATTCATGGTAATATTCAAAACAAATTGACTAACACAAAAACAAAAACTGATATAATTTTAATGTGAGTTTTTCTAATTTTCTTCTATTTTTAAATGTTTCAGTAAATCTCTGTTTAAATTCGATCGACAAGCTGCAAATATACAGGGATAATTTTGAAGCTGCTTACATGCAATCAACGGAAGAGTTTTATAAATTGAAAGCAAATGAGTATTTATCAGCGAATGGTGTTCAATCCTATATGAAGTATGCTGATCAAAGACTTAAGGAGGAAGAAGCTCGAGCTCACAGATATTTAGAACCTGGGAGCGGTAGTGTTGCCGCTTTGACACAGTGTTGTGAAAAAGTTCTTATAGTGGAACATCTCCCAACTATATTAGCAGAATGTGCACCACTCATTAAAAGTGATGAGACTGAAAAACTGCAGCTAATGTTTCGTCTTCTGGACAGAGTTCCTGATGGTGTGACACCAATACTAAGAGATTTAGAAGCCCATATTGTATCTGCAGGGTTAGCCGATATGGTTGCTTCTGCGGATATAATAACAACGGATTCAGAAAAGTATGTCGAGCGTTTATTAGATCTGTTTAGGAGATTCAGCACACTGGTTAAAAATGCTTTCATGGATGATCCCAGGTTCTTGACCGGTAGAGATAAGGCTTATAAATGTGTTGTGAATGATACTACAGTTTTTAAGTTAGAATTGCCATCTTCAGCCCTCATCCGTGGTAGCAAAGGCACTTCCCCTGAAAGTAAATGTCCTGAACTCCTTGCAAACTACTGTGATATGTTGTTACGTAAGACTCCTCTAAGTAAAAGACTCACAAGTGAACAGATAGAATCTAGGTTAAAAGATGTATTATTAGTACTGAAATACATTGAGAACAAGGATGTTTTTATGAGATATCACAAAGCCCACCTTACTAGGCGTTTAATATTAGATTCGAGTGCAGATTCCGAGAAAGAGGAAGATATGGTTGAATGGTTGCGAGAGGTCGGTATGCCGGCTGATTATGTTAACAAGCTTGCTAGAATGTTCCAAGATGTTAAGGTTAGTGAAGATCTCAATACACAGTTCCGAGGTGAAACGACGCGGCATGACGCTATTAATATAAAAATTCTCAACGCTGGCGCCTGGGCTAGAGGCTCTGAGAGGGTGACGGTCAGTCTTCCGTTAGAATTGGAAGATTACATACCAGAAGTGGAAGATTTTTATAAGAAAAAACACTCAGGTAGAAAGTTGCAGTGGTATCACCATATGAGCAATGGTACCATCACATTCGCAAATTCCGTGGGTAGATTTGATTTAGATGTGACGACGTTTCAAATGGCTGTCCTATTTGCTTGGAATCAGCGTCCAATGGAGAAGGTGACTTACGAGAACTTAAGACTCGCTACCGAGTTACCAGATCCAGAATTAAGAAGGACTTTATGGTCGTTAGTGGCTTTCCCTAAACTGAAGAGACAGTTGTTATGTTACGAGCCAATTGTACAAAATCCTAAAGACTTTTCAGAAAATACTACGTTTTGGGTTAATCAAGAATTTGCGCTGATCAAAAATGGTAAACCACAACGTAGAGGTAAGATTAATTTAATCGGAAGACTCCAACTCAGTACGGAGAGATCTCAGTTAGAAGACAACCATTCCATCGTTCAACTTAGAATACTTCGGACACAGGAGGCCATTATTAAAATACTTAAGATGAGAAAACGCATAACTAATACAGCTCTTCAGGTAATTTTTAAGTATCATATATTCATAATTTTTTATACATTTCTGAATGCAATTAAGTTATTCTAAAAGTATTATATTTCTCTCTTTTTAAATTTCAATTAAGTTTTCAAAAAGTTAACTCATCTTTGTTTCTGGATAAAATTATTAATTTAAATATATTTTTGACTATAATTTGACTGCAATTAAAAAAATTGTGTATTTAAACGCACTTCATAATTACGAACTAGTTATACTTAGTTATATTAAATAATTTTAAATACCAATTATATAAACAGAATATGTTTTGTTCTTATTCACAGAGCGAGCTCGTTGAGATTCTCAAGAATATGTTCCTACCTTCAAAGAAGATGATCAAAGAGCAATTAGAATGGTTGATCGAACACAAGTACATGCGTCGGGACGACGAAGATATTAACACTTTTATATACATGGCCTAACAGTAACATGACTGTAACACTACAATCAAATAAATTATTTAATCAACCATAGCCTGATGTCATTGAAATAATAAACACCATGGATTTAGTTTACCTTTTATTTATATATATGACAAGTATATAAAAGATAAAATAGAGAATTAGTTCTTTCCGGGTTCAATGGTTTCCCCTCCTTGAATCTGACCCCAACCAATTAACCTGAAATAAATAAATTGTTTATCAAAATTTAAATCGTTATAGAATTTATACTTGTTCTGGTTGCAATTTATACGAAAAATAATTCTGTTATGGTAAAATAAATTATATATTTATTACTAATTTAATATTGAAATGAAAATGGTGTCTAATTTGTTTGGATATTATTAAACTTCTTACCTCCAATGGTTCTCAACTCTTCTACTCAATGCAACTTTTTCTCCAATTTCGGTGCAAACGGGACTCGTAAGAGCTATTTTCGCCAAATCAGCCTTTGTAGCGATAACTCTACCACCAGTACTGAGAGATCCAATGTTAACCAATAGCGCCTGAAATTTGATGAAATTATTAATATTATTGAAGCAATAAATATGAAATTTGTGAGTATTATTAAATAATATTTGCATATATAGGATCTTTTACTTTTCCCATGAATAAAATTTTAAACATCCAGTTTGGATAATGAATTACTGTTAGGGCATTTCTAGTTGACTTTAATTTATTTAAGTATCACTGAATCACATTAATCTATGAAACATACCTCATTCTTTGCCAATTTCTGTACTTTGGCTGCCTTTTTGTCGCCTTCCGTACGTACACCGAGAAGACGTTTCAGAAGATAGTATGATACTTCAAGCTTAACAAATATACCAGGTAGGGCTCCCACTGCACCCAGTACCTGAAATGTTTAAAATTAAACGCTATAAAATTAACCATACATGCCATCAGCAAATGCTTAGCAGTTCTGACTGCCATCTCGCAGATGAAGCTAGTTTTTTGATACCTTTACTGTATCTTACTCCCCGGATCGGGGAGAGTTATTTGGAACATATTGAATAAAATTTTTGCAGTACCGGCGACGAATCATGAACTAGGGTGCGCCATTTTAGTGCTAATGGAATCCAAAATCTATTATATCTAACCACGAAATGTGAAACACTTTTAATTATTATTTTTTTCTATATTCTATGCCAGTATTATCTATTATGGTTGTATAGTTTAATATTATTTATATATACACTAGCTTTCCGGCCGCAGCTTCGCCCGCGTGGAGTTCGGTTATATCGCGTTTCCAAGAGAACCTTTCAAAAGTCTGGGATAAAAACTATCCTATGTTCTCTCTCAAGGTCAACTCTATCTCTGTACCAAATTTCATTAAAATCAGTTCAGTGGTTTAGGCGTGAAAGCGTAACAGACAGACAGAGTTACTTTCGCATTTATAATATTAGTAATATAAGGATACCTGTCCAACAAGACGATCAGCTCGACACAAAGTCGGCTCAATCTTAGTTCCAACACCAATGAGTCCTCCGGGGACAGCGTATTGTAACTCGTTCTGTTCAGCGAATAGTGACACGATGCGAGAAAATATCGGACGACAGGTCAGCTTACCGTCCGCGTCCTTACTCACTAGACCCGGGCGAACCTGAATTTAAATGATCGACATTTTAAGACTTACAAAGAATATACCTATAATCGAGGATAGTGCAAATTGGATAATTAATTAATTAAATTGAACACTAAATAATTACTAATTGTGAAAAATTACTTTAAGTCGTTAATTTAGAAAATATTTCAGCTTAAACTTTCTTCTAATGATCTGTTTCATATGTAGTGAATGTAGATACGCGGATTTGCACTATCCCCGAAGATATAGAATTTAAGTTCTATTAAGGAATTTTAAATCGAAAATATGATATGCGACAAGGCAAGATTCGAATATGTTAACTCCAGTACATGTCATTCAGTTGAATAGATTACGGTAAATGCACATAGTGCTGGTTGCAATTTAAAATTCTACTCGTGTGAATGAAATTTTTTGAAATTTACTTTCTCTTCTAATTTTGATTCACGGATTATGTATTAGCTTCTAAATTCCTTCAATGTCAATAACATAATGTAAATAAAGTAATATTTTATCTCACCTCAATTTCCATACCGACGGTTAGCACACCCTGTAGTATGGAGCCGCCAGCGACCCCTCCACGTAAATCGTCAACCTCACAACCCGGCTTGTTCACATCGAATGACCGAATCACAATCATTCTGGGTGGGGAAGTAAAGTCGCGTAACGGAACAGGTATCTTTTTGGTTATGTACTCGCATAACACCTATGGTTAAAAGATTTCTCTTATAGATTTCACGGAAGCATTAAAGTCTTCTAGTTACAGTTGGAGAGAAAAGTTTTTCTATTTATTTGCATACCAGGAACAACATAAGTTATTCACAAATTTATAACGATATAAGATGGAAATATTATGCAATATTACACACCTTTAAAGATATTTAAATTATATAATTAAAATTAAAAGTTTACACAAGTTTAATTTTTTTAGAGATAATCGAAGTTAAATAAGCATTAAATTTAATATACATACAGAGATAAATATATAAATTATGATTCAAATTTTAAATAAAATCTCAGTAGCCTCCAATTTCTTTACCCTAGCTATTAATATTATTTAACGCATAAACTTCAGCAAACTGTGAAGTCTATCTCTTTGGCAATTTTTTTCATAGCAAAAGTCACAAATGAATTCATAACTACCATTCCTATGTCATAAAAATCAAACAAAACTTGATGGAATCATATGGTCTGTTGTACGGGTATATTGGACTCGATACATGGTTATTTTGAAGACGGTTTTTCTAAACTACATTAAATATAAAATCAAATCTTACATAACTAATTTATCTCACCTCAATATTATATTTCAACTGAGCCGATATCGGTATAATCGGTGCGCCTTCCGCGACGGTTCCTTGAACGAATTTAACGATCTGCTCGTGTTGTTCCTTAGCTTGACCTTCCTTTACCAAATCTATTTTATTCTGAAGTATAAGTATGTGCTTCAGTTTCATAATCTCTATAGCGGCCAAGTGCTCACTGGTTTGAGGCTGGGGGCAGGACTCGTTACCTAAATGAAGACAAAAAGTCGTTATATAATATATCTCGCATGGATCAGAATCTAGATAATGTTAGGGTTGTCACTCACCAGCAATAAGCAGTAGAGCGGCGTCCATTACTGCCGCGCCGTTAAGCATGGTTGCCATAAGAATGTCGTGACCGGGACAGTCGACGAAGCTAACGTGGCGAACCAGTTGGAAGCGACCAGTACAAGCTGGTCTCAAACACGGGAAGCTGTCATCTTTGGATGAACCGCCTGATATAAAACTCGTCGGACGAGGGCATTTAGGGTTGTCACATTTGTAGATTTTCGCGTTCGCATAACCTTTTGGATTACCACAGATATTGGTTAATATAATCTTTATTAGTTCCAAGTTTTCTGATTAAAACTATACTTTTGGTGTAAATATTTTATTGTACTCATTATCAAAAATACATATCAATTCCTAAGATATTACAAAAATGTAATAATTATTTTAAACACTAAATAATAAACTTAGTAACAGAGAACTTAATACTATATTGGAAATACTTTCTTCTTTTGCTAAAACATTAAAAAAATAGAACTTATAGATTTTACAATCATGTAAGATGAATTTTAAAGGGACTAAGTAAGTGGTGTTCTTATAAAAAATATCAGTTATAACTATTAAAGCATTTTCCGTGTTGTATATTGTAGTAGTAAGAAGTTAAGAACAAGTCACATTCAGATCATACATTTTTAAATTATTGTCTTAAATTATTTTTAATTGTGCTATAAAATTGTCACAAACAAACTTTGAAATGATATCTCATTATATTTTTAATCTACAATCCCATAATTGATTATCAAATAACTATTCCAATAAAAAAATACTTGACTTAAAAATGTATATGTTATACTATGTCAAAATCGTAATAAAAAATTAAATCTATTACAGATTTCCTTGAATATATTTTAAGTCATCTTAATTGTTGCTTGTGAAAAATGTTTTTCCATTAAAATAAATATTTTCGACATTTAACTGCACCACATTTGCACTCAGTGAGATTTCTGAGCATTGCTCTATTCTGTTGTTGGATTTCAAATCTTGTTTTAACTGGCGACACGGGAGAAATAGCAGTACTAGCTTCTGCAGCATCGGGTAAGGTTAAATCGCTTTCTTCAACACTTTCAACGACTTCAGAAGTATTCGTTTCTTCCTCACTTTCTAATGATTTTTGTAAATAATCAAAACAAATCTCCTCCCCTGCTTCAATATCACGTGTCGCAAACAAAGCCAGCATTGGTAAATTTGGATCGAGACAGTCAGCCCATACAGCCCACACTCCCAAATTAGGATCACAAGAGTGATTTATAAAGTGAGATACATTTCCTAAGTTACATGCGTCCACTACATACGGATTTTCTACTGAGTTAAAGTCCAAATCGAATAGATAAGTTAAACCATTGGCGTCATATTCGCGTCCACGTTTCTCTGCCTCTTCGAAAGTAATGACTTCCCCAACATATTGGCATAAAAATTGTCCTTGATAGATTTTCTGTTCAGTCCTAACGCCCCATCCGCAACCGTTTGATGTGCGAAATATAGTTAATTTAGTATTACGTCCCCTTTGTACGACACGATTGTTACAATCTGACGAGCATTTGCAGGCTTTATTACATTCGTAGACTGGCGTTCCGGGCGCTACACGAAGTCTTCTCTTTACTGTGTAAGGAAATAAACCAGCTTGCATCCCACAACACGACTTTGAGCGACAATTACATGATTCACATTCACACCCAATAGGAGGTTCATCGGGAATAGTTACACCGGCAGCGGGAATAGAATGATTGATATATGTAAAGTTTTCAGGCGGACCAATTAAGTCGACATCATTTTCAACAGTTAATTTCTTACATATATCCACTTGATTAAGATAATCTTCCCAATTTTTCAGAGCCATAAGTTGTTGATAGCGTTTCCTTGTTAATACATATAACTGATAAATGCTTCTGGTTTCCTGAACCAGTTGAGAAGCATGATGTTCATCACTCTGTTTCAGAGAGATCATGGTAAGAAGTTTGACTATGAGATCATTTTTTAATTTAGTAAGTTCTGAATCATCTACTTCATCCAACCTTTGAATAAGGTTTTCCTCATGCAGTAGATTACCAAAAGATATTTCTTCTTTGAGTTTTTCAATCTCCTCAGCATGCTTCAATTCTTCCTCACTCAAAAATTCATTTAATATTTCAGGGCAATTAATTAAATTTTCCCCAGGTTCCCATGTAGCTTCACTCTCATCATAGTCTTTCCATTTTATATGAAACAATTCTTTACCAGATTGAAATTTAAACCCGAATATTCTTTCAATAATAAATTCCTCATTTTCTTGTTTATTTTTCTTTTGTTTCTTTTTTGGTGGTTTTTCTGGAGTTACATCTGGATCGGGTGGCAATGACCTTTTTTTATTTTTCCTCATTTTTTCAAAGAATATCCTTTCTTCCCTTTCATCAGCTCGTTCACGATACATTCTTATAACTGAATCGGACAGGCGCTCTGCAACATACCATGTGTTTTAAATTAATAATGATTTTACCAATAATTATATGAATTTTAGGAATATTTTAACATTAATTGAACTAATATTCACATGGTACATTGCAAAGTTATCATACTCAGTGATAAGTATGCATTTTAATGTTACAAAAAACTTAACACCTAAAACAGTTATTAATTTAGTGAACATAACAATTTGAATCAAGTAATCAATTGCAAAGAACCTTTACAACAAGCAAGTTTAATATTTATATTATATTAAAGACAACAGACAGTACCTTAACACTTATTACATATTTTACTATTGTACCAAATTATAGCACTATATCAAATACATTATTTCATTTAATTTTTCATTCATTCATACAAAATTTCATTTTACGAAATTAACAATTTATTATAACAGTAAATAAAAATGTTAATAGAATATATAATATCAAATCTCATGCACATTTTTCTACATATTATCTCAACTTACCTAATTTTATAGTAATGTTCCTTTCTAATTCATTCTTGAATCGGACAGTTTGCACTCCAGAAATGGCTTTAACCACTGTAGACTTTCCATGAGCTACATGACCAATAGTACCAATGTTGATAGTGGCCTGTCTCGATATAACTTCGGGAGACAAAGCAGAGAGTTTTGTGACGTCCTACAACATAACACTTCCCAAATTAATACAACTTCTATAATCAAACTTCGTAAATTATGAAATGTTAGGTTATACTAATTATGACTATTATTAACAAAAAGTTCAAACTTGTTGTCTTAAAATGAAAGTTGACACATTTTTCCAATAATTCCATGATCACTAGCATGAAGTTGTACGTTGCTACTTACTAATTTAGATAAATCTTGCTGATGCAAGTTTGCTTGTCCTCTTCCTTCGTTCGAAGTCATTATTATGTTCAATAATAATTATACTGTCCAAAAAGATTCATTCAAATACTTCTTAGTAAAATATAGTATTATCTTCCAAAGGGTTTTTAAATGATAATATAGAGGTTACGCTATATTGCGTGGCCTCAACCCTTAAGCACAAGAGAATAGAGATTTTAACAAATCACATTGACAATCAAACTGTACTAAGACAGACGACAGGTAACAAAAGTATGCCGCGGAATTGACAATCAACTCTATATTGTGTTTTACATCTTAATAACAATTGAATCGGTATATAAATATTTTAATTTAAATATTAATTTAGATTTTAATTCATGTATTGTTCCTTCTGTTATGTCAAATTAAAAAAAAATTACAACCCCATATTTCATTATTTACGAGTAAGAAGCCTACTTCCATTTGCTAGCTTTTGATTCTTTCGACACGTTAAAGAAATACATTAAATAATTTGAGTTAAACAATGCTCTAAGAAGATTAATTAAGACGGATATATGAGTAATATTCCTTTGTCTTATATTAAAACTTAATTCTGAATCAGAACGTTACACTCAACGTTGTTATTAATATATATATACCTCGAAATCAAATCCCTCTCAAAGTGTATAAAATAAATGAACTACAGGAACACCAAATTCTTTCACTTTCCTGGCATTCTTCAACTTCAAACATTTACCATCCATAACAAAACATTACAGAAAGAATAATATTGCAAAATCATCTAATATTAAAAAAAAAACTTTTTTGCTAACTTACTATATAATAATAAAAAATAATTTAATTTTATAATATAATAAACGCATATTATTAAGAAGTAATTCATTCGTTCTATCCTTGCCTTACATCGAGCAAATCTGGGACTTATCTTTTATTTTCATACTCTAAGTATAATAAAAGAAATTTCTCAATTTTGTTAAGAACTTATTAAACAATCAAACTTGTTACCGAAGCTAATCCAAATCCTCATATTATGCAAAAAATAATTGTAATTTAAGCAGCCCTTTACGTAAATTTGTAACTGCAATTTCTACAGGGGATGTGTTAATGTCACTGTCAAATAAGACATTGATAATCTCTGATGACATTTCAATGTCTGTGCTCGGGTTATGGTAGTGGCTGTCGACTCGAACATCAGATTTTATTAAGTACTTTACGAAGAAATCAATAAATTTAATCACGATGTCATTTATGAAGACAAATATGCTGGTAATTTCATAGTATAATAATAATATTTCTCATATTTATATTGTAAACTTACACATTACGTAATCTACTTAGGTTCGATCGTTGAGCACGTCTTCTGCCGCTGCTCAACTCGTGAAACCTCCTGTACAAGTTTTTGGTTTGGAGGGAAGGTATGCTTCAGCCCTTTACTCCGCGGCTTCAAAAAGCAAGAGTTTGGATGCTGTGGAAAAAGAATTGAGTCAATTCCAGAAATCCATTAAATCAGACCCAAAAGTCAAGGAATTTATCATTAACCCAACCCTTAAGAGAAACCTTAAAGTTGATGCCTTAAAACAGGTTGCCGTCAAGGTAAGAATGACAAATTTATAATTATTATTTAAAAGTTTTATTTATACTATGATATTTCATAGATTCTATTATTTACTACAAATAATATCTTGTTCACTATGTACCATAGAAAAAATATATATTTTGTAAAATATGAAGAGCAATTTCTTAAGAAATATCATTTAGCAACATTTTGAAGACATTTCTTAATAGAATATAATGTATTATCCTGAAAATTGAGTATGGAGAAACCTCAAAACATTTAACATACTGAACATTTTTATATATAGAAAAAACTAAATGTGTAATTTCGATAATAATTCCTTAATTTCAATTACATTATCATTTAATATATAATAATTTTAAACATAATATTTAATTACCCTTATAAATTTTAGACTAACTTGTCGCCTACAACCAGCAACTTGTTAGGTTTAATGGCCGAGAATGGCCGTTTGGATAAGTTGGAAGCTGTTATAAATGCTTTCAAAATGATGATGGCCGCCCACCGTGGTGAGGTCACATGCGAGGTTGTTACGGCTAAGCCTTTAGATCCTGCACAGAAACAAAGCTTGGAAGCTGCTCTTAAGGTATATTTGTTATATAACATTACTTCAAGTCTTTTTTTTTAGCTTTTTGGGTCACAAGTCCCAGGCAAGGTTGAAGCTCCTCTCCCTGCCATGCAATTGACCCGCATGGTGAATGCATTGAATGCTAAGAAGATTTATCTCATTTCTTATGTACATTACACATAATATATTTCCTATCCATTGAGTGGAATTTGATATATTTTAAATATTTAAAATTAAAATGTATTAGATTCAAAATAATTGAAAATCTCTGCAAAAAACAACAGTGTAAGATAATATAATCCTATTTCCTATTAAATTTTAAACATAATATTGAATCTACATGAATGAAAGGCTTTTTTTTTGCAAGATTTTCATGTTTTCTTGATATTATAGATCTAAAATTTATATTTTATTGAAACTTCTTATTTTTCAGAAATTCCTTAAAGGCAATGAGACTCTACAACTCACAGCTAAAGTTGATCCATCTCTGATTGGAGGTATGGTTGTATCAATTGGCGACAAGTTTGTTGACATGAGTGTTGCCAGCAAAGTAAAGAAATACACCGAACTCATCAGTAATGCTGTTTAAATTAATAATTTATAATCATGTAGCCACAGAAATGTTGTTTAAATAGTCATGTTGTGCAAGTAAAAATTGAAAATAACATGACAAAAAGACTTTTATTTTTTCCTCTTTTATCAATAATGAAAATATAATTTGAATGTATGTATTCACAATTTCATGGAATTTTACTGTTAGATGATGTGCTATTTAGAGATGCAAGCTGTAAGACATTATGAATTTTTGTACTAGTGTAACAAAAATACATAAATTGATCAAATTGGTTGTCATTTATGCATTTAAATATCCTTGGTATGCACATGCAATTTATGGTAATTTATAATCATAGCATACTGGAATTAAATAAATATATAATATTTTATTTTCATTGAGACAAGAATATTGCATATTTTTCAAAATACCATTTTCATTTCAAACCCTTTTTATTGGTTTTTTTATTACATCTAGAAGATTTGTATTTGTTCTACAACAAATTTAAGGATGAAAGAAATTAATGGTTGGTCATTTTGCTCAGTCGGTCAGTGCATTTAAATATCTTAAAATAATAGAATATTATCATTCGTTATGGGTAATAGCAAAGTTGATATTTTATCAAAAAGTGTATGAACTACAGGGTTGCTTTATTTACTTTACAGGGGTGCCTTTATTTACTAAATATTTATCATTAGCCATTAATATTTCATTTATATGTATCGTCTAAAATATAAATTGTGTAAGTGAGGTTCTTGTAAAATATCTACACCTTGTTTTTCCCTCTATTATGTATGATATTATTGTGAAATTTTATATCACTGTTGAAAACATCTTTTAATGATATAAAATGGTTGTTTATGTAATAAAAGTTTTTTTTAAAATGTTAGGGTTACAATAGCCAATTAAATAAGAGGAAACTCGCAAATATACCATATTTTAATTAGTTTCTAAAACCCAAGTAAAAAAGCCCTCAAAGTAAAGTTCCTTTTCATGATTGAAACTTATGAAATGAAAGCATAAGAGAGTGCTTATTGGTTTGTTTACATTGAAAATAAAACAGTAACCATAGTTAATGAATTTAATTAACCTAATAAAAATTAAAATTGTACCAACTTAAAAATCCTTAAATGATAATTATAACAAAAAATAATTACTCTGCTCTAGTAACAAATCAACAAATGATTTCCTTTTTATATAAAGTAATATAGGAGATCATATCACAATGAGATCAATCAAATAATGTTAAATAAAGTTGAGATTTTATCCTTCAGTGGGAGCAGTTTCTCCTTTTAAGAGTGCATTTTCAGCTTCCAATTCTGCTATACGTGCTCGTGCTGCCTCCAGTTCATCCTCACCACCGTCAGTTCCTAAATGTTTACGAACATATTCTAAGGCATCTTCTGGTTTGTCCGGTTCTTCATAGAGACTTACAAGGACCTTCGTAAGGGCGTCCATTACTCCAGCCCGCTCTAGGTAACGTCTAAATTCCTCCCTTTTCGAGTCAATGGGCTGAAAACGTTAATATATGTTAGTAACTAAGAAATGACTTTTTGTTGAAAATCAATTTATAAAAGATGACTTACTTTGTATGAAGACATATTTGTTTATTTATTTGCGAGGAACAGGTGGTTCGATGGTAAATTAAATTGAGGTTAATTATTTATTGCTTTAGAGTTGTTTTGGTAACGTTAAGCGGTAAACTGTCACAAATTTTAAAATGTCACGCTTTTGTTATACCAATCTGTCAATACGTTCTTTATGCCGGCCACTTCGAAGAAATTATTATTTTTAATAGAAATTTACTTTTATGTTAATATTTTTAATAATAATTATTAAACTGTCGGTGTCATAAGCACTCCGTCTAACTTAATGCATTTCTATTGTGTAAACTGGTATCTTAGTTAAAAATTAACTTTAATCATTCTATGAATTACTATAGTTCTAGTTCAATCATAGTTATTTTTTTAAATGAAATATTTGCATATTGAAAATAGCACAAAAATTATTTTCTTTATGGAATGGCTCTTACTAAGAACTCTTTGTGAAAATAATTTCCAACGGTAAAATTATGATCGAGATTGGATAGTGTTCTAGTCGTGTAATCAGTCAGTGTTATTAAAAATAATACTGTTTATTCAGGACAATACTTTTGAGTTTCGAGCATGTACAAAATTTTTTCGTGAATGTTGAAAATTAATAACAGTTAATAAATAGCTTTATCATTTATTATTTTCTAAGAAGACGTTGATGCAATACGTCTACACTACGGTATAATATACGGATTTGTTTTATATTTTAACAAGGGTATCCAATAGATTGTAAAGAAAACATGGAAATATCGTGAAATACAAAATTTTATTATTATTTTTGAGCGTCGACAAAAGGTATTTGAGAACACAAATGCCAACATCGTCGAAAATAAAAACTACAACAATTTATTGTTACTTTTTATTATTTTATGCCATTAGGCAGACAGTAAAAGCATTAGAACAAATTGTATCAGAAGTAAACATAATGTTAAATTAAGGATTAAAAAGTAAATATATCTTCTAGCGTGCTCTATTTTGTGAAATACTGTTATTAAATTAAGACTCATCATCACTGCCAGCATTTTGTTTGGGTGCTTTTGGCCCTCCTGCCCTCTTAGCCATAATGATTTGATCAACTTTCAAAATTGTTGTTGCAGCACCAACAGCATATTTAAGGCCCCAGTATTTTAAGACATATAAATCTAAAATTCCCTTTTCCTTTGCATCACAAATTCCAGCACTCTCAGATTCAATATCAAAACCAGCATACTTGTTGTTTTCCTAAAAAAAATTGTATATATGACATTTATATGATATTGAAATGTGAGTATTATATATCTTATAATGCTTGAGATATATACCCTGTGTGCTTTATAGATATTGTTCACTACTTCAGTGGCATTTGCACCAGAATTTTCTGCAAGTGCTTTCGGAACACCTTCAAGAGCTACAGCAAACTTACGAACTGCATATTGCTCAAGTCCTGGAAGTGTATCTGCATACTGCAAAAGCTGTTGAGCTAATTCAATTTCAGTGGCTCCAGCGCCAGCCAAGAATCTGAAATAAATAAAGAATATTAATAAGAAAAAAAAAAAGTTTGTAAAATTTTGTAAAAGCTACTTCAAATAAAAACAAATCAAACCACAAAGACCAGTTTTTTATGTTAAAAACTTTTTTCTTTAATCTTATTACAATTGTATCGGTATAGTAATTATTTGCAAGTACATATGTTATATATTAAATTTTCATACTGATTCTGAACAACAAGTTATTGGTTTTTGTTTATGTTTGTAAATTGTAAATAAAACCTCTTTGGATGGTTAAGTTGACTGTAGTCATTTTATGTATTTTTTTTAATATCAGTTATCTGTCATTTTACTCATTGGGATTAAAACTAATTAAAAAGTATTTACTATTCAATAGGCTTACCTTCCATCTCTTGCTATTCCCTTGAATGTGTTAACACCATCGTTAATAGCTCTTTCAATGTCGTCCATGTAATTGTCAGTTGAACCTCTGATAACGACTGTTGAAATCCTAGATTCGCTGCTTTCCATACTGAAGACAACTACTCTTGTGTCACCGACTTCATCAACTCTTACTGTGTCACAGTAACCAAGCTCCTCGGCTGTTGGAGTTGTCAATTTTGGCAGTACCTAAAATTATGTGAAATTATACAACTTGTTTCTTTGTATCAGTTAATAGGATATTATTGTAGAAAAGTATGGCAAACTTACAGTAGCATTAACAGTCTTAGCGAGACGACGGATATCAAACTTTGAGTTAAGACGAACCGCCATAATGTTATATTTATTGAGGAAATGTAATGCCATATCACCAAACTTAGCTCCAGCAACGATAACTTTTACACCAGTATCAGCGATAGCTTTAATCTGTTTTTCTAACAAAGACTCCTCTCCTTTGCTGAAGTTAAGTAGTTCATCGGCTGTTTTGATGAGTACGGTTCCCTTTGTTTCAGTTTGAGTGATGTCAACGGGACAGGAATAAACAGCTACTTTGGCCTTTGATGCACTGGCGACATCACCCTCAACTTCTCTCTTGAAAACCATTCCTGACAATACCTCGGACTGTAATAGCCCAGCACCAAGAATCTGCAATTATGAAATTTAAACAGAATTAATACCTTTTACAATAGAAGTTATAGATACAGGTCTTTTCAAAGTAGGCTGCAAGTTAATTAAAGATGTTCATGGAAGAAAATGTTATTTCTTTTAGATAGCCCTTTTAATGATAAAGACATTTTATACCTTCATTAATAGACAAAGATATATATTTTTTTGTATTGAGTATTACTTTTATCTGTTACTAAGTTACTAGTTAATGTGGCTTAGATAGTGCCACTGGGAATAGTGGGTGGTTGCTGAGAGTAACCCATTTTGAAGAGACTCGAGAATCCCAGCAAAAATTAAATCAAGTCTGTCATCATCATAGTTATTTCAATAAAACAGTTATTTTCAAACCATACACTACCTTGCATATCCTGACGTTATCAACATTAAATGTTGTATTTTCTGGTAGAATAGCCACACAAGCTTTTGCTACTAGCCCAGCAATGAAGTCTTCATTACCATACTGTTTGGACATGATAGATGGTTTAATGCCTTTGATAACAGCATCCATATTTCTGCAATCTTTAATTTCATCACAGATTAACTGGGGCAGGATTTCTAGGCATTTATCAAGGGCCTTTTCATATCCTTCCGCAATTTCGCTGGTTGTTACACCTAGACGTAGAAGTTCCTCAGCTGCCTCAAGGAGGGCTCCAGATAATACAATTACAAAGTTTGTACCATCTCCGACCTCGGCATCTTGCATTTGACTAGCTAGAACCATTAACTTAGCGGCTGGATGCTCAACATCCAATTCCCTGATTATAGTTCCAGCATCACTTGTCACAAACTGTTTGTCAATGTGATTGATAATCATTTTATTCATACCATTCGGGCCATATGCTGAGCGCACACTTTGGGCAAATTGTTTGCATGCATTTATGTTACGATATACTGCTTCTTCTAATCCCGAAAACATCTAGAAATGTATTAATTATTTAGCGTCCGTGTTCTATGTGAAACTGGTTAAGTTTCTTTATATAACTAATAAAAATATGTGTGAAATAAGTGCGTATTCTTTATTTATTAAACAGTAAATCTTATTTCTATGGATTAATTAATATAAAATTTAAAATGTACTACGAAATATAAAATATATGCAAAATTGGGAATAATGTCATTATATTTGAAAATAAATATATTTAAAATTTAATTTTAAGAATAAAGTTAGTTATAAATTATTTGTATTTTGGATAAATGCCGAAATAACTGAATAAAATACAACTTAATGTTCATAAGGCACGGCATGACTTATGATTTTGGTTATAATAGTTACAACATACCCGAGCTCCATCTTTTAACATTTGGGGTACACCCGGTGCTTTTGGTATATGTAAAGCCATTTTAAAGGTATTTGATACTTTTTATCTCGCGTATTATAATATCTATTCAAATTTTCAAATGAATCACGAGAATATGCTTGCCTGCCGCAAAATGGAAATTGACTACAGACTATATAAATAAAAACAACAAATAGATATAGACTATAAAACGCTTTCGTTGTAACAGCATCAACAATATAAGAACATCTCTTAAAGTTTTATTCATGATAAAGTTTTATTACTTAAAAAACATACAAAATTTCAGATGTTATTATGATTTGAATGAATTTCATATGTTAAATGTGAAGTACTATCTACTAATTAAAAGTTAAAAGCCATCGCACCTCGTAGTAAGGTATGTTATATTTTTTAAATTCATATATTCCCCTATACCAGTATGCTTTTTAAAAAAATATGTCATTATAATATTATAAAAAATATAGGAATAGCATGTTTTTCTTATACATTACTTTAGAGACATGTCAATAGATGCTCTGCTACATTTAAGGAAACTTTTCTGTATATATTTTAATAGTGCTTAACATGGCTTTTAGGTTTGAATAGATTCCATGCTTAAGTAAGATTAAGTACTACATTAATATTCTTCTGTTTTAAATGTTTCAACTTTAACATTAACTCCGTGCTATTCCCGATACTGCTTCTCTTGCATTTCATTTCTATATTGTCTGTTGAAGGTGAAATTTTCCATTCTGGTCGTAGAAAAATTTCTTTTCACGCTGTGGAAGAACAACATCTGACTAATATTAAGAATACTCTGTGATCTATTCAGGATCTTGGATTGGAGTCGGGATAACATAATCCGTTTAAATCCCCAACAAAACACAAGTTTGTCCTCACACCGCTAAGATAACCCTAGTTCCAGGCTCCAGCACGTCTTCAAATCAAATTAAATTCTTACGTGGCGTTTAATTTCGGTTTACCTCATAAGGCCAAGTTGGCATCTAGGAAACTTAGTTTACCGAATAATGCAAAGTACTTCATCCCGGGCTATAAGTTACCGCAAGGTACAAAGTAAGTAAGGTAAAGGTACAAAGTAAATTGAGCCAAAGTAAAGACCTTACGTGGATAACTGTTCTCATCTATGGACAATTGCTTTCGGAGTCCAATTTGGATATTTTGATTCAAAAATAAGTTATAATCATTGTCAGTCATCCCGAGCTCGTAGACGGCATGGAGTTGGAGCTATAAAGTTCAAGGATAAATTATCTTCCTCTGTTTGTTCTATCGCTTCGGTATGACATCACTCATGATAATAGAAACATAGAATGGTCGGGAATATTACAGTTTTAGAAATATTTCTTAAAGCGAATCCTCGCTCTATAAAACAGCGTCCCGTCTCAGTTATTCTAAAGGGTTTAGGAATAGAATTCTTTTAGAGAATAGGTAATTTCAGGATTTGCATGCGTGAGTGATACTCCTTGTATTGAGGCTATGATGACCGCTTAATAACAGGTTCCATTCGTAGTTAAGGTTGACAAAATGTGTATTTTAATGTCTCAGCTAACATGTTTTATCTCGTGCAGTAAGTACGAATTTGTCTTAATTTTGAAATTTTACAAATAACATTAGATTATTACATATATTTCGGATCATTAGTCTAACCACACAATACATGTCCCGTCTCGATTGAAACGTCCACCTTTACGCAGAAGAATGCGGAGGTAGATTTAAATGATCCTGGTGACTTGTTAAGGTAACAAGGTTTCTGTACTTTGTATATAACATATTCCACATACAACATTACAAAAACTGCACAAACCAGATACATGTTCGTAGTTTTATAAATTGTTTTACATAAAAATTATATATTTAAGACATTCATATAGAAATTCTATTTGTGCAAGAGTTTATAAGGAGTTGACCACGGCTAAGACAAACTTCTTCGATCTTAAGGTAAAACTGATCCTGTATGAATTCCGCATAAGCAACTAAATTAATTCAATAAACAGAATATTTTTTGGATAAAAAAAAAAAACAACTACCATCTCAAACTTTTTATTTTTTTACTAAAATATAATTATGTGCCTAATTACACATTTAAATAATTTTTAAGTACATTTTTCTCTTAATTGAATTTTATTAATATTATCAGTCTAATGTAATAAAATCTTATCAATTTCATTTTCTTTAATTGCAAAATTTATTGAAGAAACATTAATTTCGTCATTTCTTAACGAATGTATGTATGACAATTAAAACACTATTTCGTCCGAATATTAAAAGTAGGAACATATTTTCGCCAATGATTTACAGCTTAAGAAAAACAATCTAAATGAGTTTTGTTAAATGAGAGTACAATATTTAACTAACCTTAACATATAGCATCACACTATAATAGGGGTGTCTTACATTATCAGAAAATTTAAGAAATTCCTAGTACTAGTACTAATATAATAATTGATTATTTATTATGTAGAATAAAAAAAGTTAATATTTAAAAAAATACAGTCAAAATTTAAAGACATTTGGTTCAATTTAACAATTAATTATTACACATATATACAAAATATAATTTATTGTGAAAAAAAAGGCATTTCATATTTTTTGTGTGATTGTAACACATAAAAAAACACCCCTATTACGTTATATCTAATAGTACGGAGCAAAGCAATTAATATATTCGATATAACACGATTCAAGTTATCAAAGTAAAATATTAAGAACTAACTTATGTCTACATTATCAATAACATCACAGGAATATTCCAAAAGTAGTACATGTGACAAATAATACTGTCGAGAGGGAATTATTTAAGAATCGTTATCGAGATAACAAAAGCCTCAAAAAGGAACAAAGTTGAAATCAGAACTGGCATATCTTTAGAACATCTTAATGTTTTATTTAAATTTTTTTAATTTAGAATACTTTTCTATTATTTAATTGATCACTTAGTAGGTTTTATATACAAGTTACCTCGAAGAAAATATGAAAGTGTCAATGTAACTTTGATTGTACAAATAATTTACAAAAATATAATAGTTTTGCTAAGATGACGCGTAAAATTCATGAAATATAAATAAATATTTTTTCTCGAGAACAATTTCATGAATGCACATTATACCTACATGCATTTTGAATGAGTAATCTTGTATCTTGAAAATTGTTTATAGCACAAAATAAAAATTGAAATGTGTGCTTTAAAATATATAATAAAAAGCTTTTGACAGCTCTCAATATTGAGATCAATTGTAATGTTAATATATTTTTATGATTTTTTAAATCCAAATATCAAATCAATTAGTACATTAAATTGTATGATGATCATTTTTTATAAAAAGCTTCATTTGATTAGTCTCTATAAATTAATTAATTCGAAAAATATATATAAAATAAAGATACGAACATTCCCTGTAATGTATGAGATGAAAAATCAATGTAAAAAATATATTTTTATATATATGTTTTGTAAACGTATTTCCTTTCTCTTATAGAATGAAATGTCATTGAAAAAGGAATAAAAAATTCAAAATAAACATCATAAATACCATACCGTATGGTAGTGTATATAATTATAAAGATATTAGTATTTCGCAGCCATTTTTATAATTTTACTATGTGTTATTGACAATTCCTTTAGAATTCCATGCAAAATATATATGATTTCTAAGAAAATAGCAGTTTGTGATGAGTAAATATGACTATTTGTTATCTTTATAAGGGTAAATATCTATAATACGTCTAAAATCGTAAGATCTAAATTACATTGTACGAACCACCGCATGTAACCTAGGTGTTAGTCTACAGAGTAACGTAATTTAAGATCTATTCAAACCTATGAGATCTGCAATCAATTCTACGAACACGAATAGTTATCAAAAAAAAGGCAGTTACTGGAGAGAGGTTACTAAAGTAATAATCTCTACTTGAGATTTAAGTAAATGCTATTGTTTTTAAAGGAATAACGAGTAACTTGAAAAATATGGTATGTGAAAAACGTATTGAATTAATCTTCCATACTCAAAAAGTTATTGAATAGCATAGTTGTATGCATTAAAAGAATTAGGTTGTACTATAGTTGTCAACTATTAGGAGGGAATTACACGAATTCGAGCACGTACGTCAGTATGCGTGCAAGTGTATTACACATACATAAGCAAGACAGTGCACGTCGCTATGAAATTCCACGGACACATACTTAGATTCACTGACACACGCAAAGGACGTATGTGGGTACGCTATTACACACACGCGCGCATTATTATATACGCTCCACGCACACATTCTTAGATTCACTCACACACGCAAAGGACGTATGTGAGTATGGTATTACACACACACGCACATTAAAATGTACGCTCCACGCACACATTCATATATTCACTCACACACGCAAAGGACGTATGTGAGTATGGTATCACACACACATACCCGCATTATAATGAACACGCAAACACACACACGAGCTGTTTGTATATCACAAGAGGTTGCGTGGAGGTGGCACCGCTACAACCGCAGCCCCCGCCCTGCCGGTACTCAATGGTGACAGCTTCTTCCAAGTGTTGGCCTCCGCGTCGTAAACCTCAACCACACAGAGATACTGCACGCCGTCGTAACCACCTTGGAATATAATTTAATCATTATTAAAGTGAAACTTTTTGTGAGACTTCAAATAAGGTTGCGTCAAACGTTTAACGCTTTTGGAGGGGGATAAAAAGAGAAAGTGCGAGAGGGAATACTTGGGGCTCGACATGCAGCATGCAGGGAACCAATTTTGACTAGTAAGTAATGTTAATAAAGTTTATCTTAAAGAAACATTAACAATTCCTTAAAAAACTATTCTTATCCCCCTTTCTGATTTCATTCCAAACATTACCAAGTTTCACTTCTTCCGCGGAGGAATTCCACGCACAATTATTTTTTATTATCATAAATTTTTAAACCCCAAGGTTAATAGTAGTTTTTTATAATTTATAATTTGATGTCTGTCTGTTTGTATGACCGACGGATTTTATGGAATAAATACTCATTGGTACGCCAGCAAAAAGTGAAAAAGGATAAAAAATTTAAATTAAAGAGGACTATTATTTCCATACAAAACAAGCTAAAATCATAAATTACTGATAGATAAATATAACATAGATAAATAGCAATAATGTTAGTATCGTCTATCTATGTAACTATATCTCACCGACAGCGACTATTCTGTCTCCCAGTAGACAACTTCCTATTGCATCTCGTCCGTAAGACAGCCTCGCCAGTAGCACCCAGCTATCAGTGATGGGGTCATATCGCTCCACACACGCGAGCCTTCCACCCACAGTGTTAGCGGGGGCTTCGTGTCCCCCTAACGCGTATATATACCCGCCTGCAGCGCAAACCTGGAAATTTATTTATCAAATTTATAATATACCTGGTATGTAAGATACAAAATCCATTTATTTATGTTTCATCCAAAATAACAAGAACGTTTTAGTGATTTTTTTTTTGTGAATAAGTTGACACTGAACCGTTGGTCACGTGTTGTATATAATTTTATGATATTTTCATATATTGATAAGGTTTTCCACAGCGTATTATAATTCTAGGACTTCAACAGTCTATTTATTAAATGGTAGTCTGGCTGTGGTCAAGTAACTACAAATCGAACATGGGATGGCTCGACCGGGGAAGTACCTCCCTCTCACAGAAGATTAGCTTGAAGTAGTTATTAATGACTGCGTTTCGTCCAATGAGTGAGAGTGCCGGTTGCCCTTTCCCTGTTCCCACCCTTTCCCGTCATTTCCTTATTCCTCCCTTTTCCTCAACAACTAAGGTTGGCAACGCATCCGCCACATCTCATCAATGGTGACTGTGGCCATCAAGCAGGCCGTCTGCTCGTTTGCCACTTTTCCCATATAAAATAGTATCTATGTGTGTACATGTTATTATGTGTAATACACTCACACTAACACCACCACGTCTGTGTGTCATCGGTGCGCAATTTGTCCAGTGGTTGGTAGCTGGATCGTAGCACTCAACGGATCGTAGACAGGCACCACCATCCCTCCCCCCCACCGCGTAGAGGCGGCCTCGTAGCGCCGCTACGCCACACGTGCTACGAGCACCCGCCATAGCTGACACCATTGTCCATGTACGTGAACAAGCATCCCATCTGTTGAATTGTAACCGTTAATATAAACTTCTATTATTCATTAAAAACTGTATTAATTATTGGGAATGAAAATGTTACATCTTTTTGAAGAACATTTTTATTATATGGAATTTAAAGCAATAAAAAATACAAATGTCTCAAACAGTAATAAATGTCTATAATCTTCATACATTGTCGAGTTATGAATATGTAAATACTACTATCCTACTAATATTATAATTGCGAAAGTTTGTGAGAGAGTGTGTATGTTTGTTACTTCTTCACGCTCAAACGGCTGAACCGATTTTGATAAAATTTTGTATACAGGAAGCTGACGTCCAGGAATAACACATAGGCTACTTTACATCTCGGAAATCCCGGAAATCGGCGGGTGGCACCGCGGGGCGCAGCTAGTTAATGATAAAATTACTCTTTATAGGTCTATTTATGTTACCTTTCAACTGAATTCAAGTATATCCATCCATCGTGTCCGCCAACAGCGTATATTGGTGAGTTGGGTCCGTCACCAAGAACAGCTACACCCAAGCCATGTCTGTGAGTGTTCATAGGAGCTAGGGTACTCCAACTTAGAGATGTGAGGTCAAAACATTCCACCTACACACATACATCTATGAGTACATTGAATTTAATACTTCTATTATGCTAGATTGTTTATGGTGGTTCTCAATGGTGTAGCATGAGTTTTCTATGTCTAAATTGTCTATAGCATGTCTTATTAGTGTGTTAACCTTTTATTTATATGACTTCTCGAATAAGGACATTGTATTTTATAATTAGGATAAACTTATTATGCAAAGGATGATGGATGAGATAACTGAAAGGTGATTTAATATGTATGTAAAACTATAGATTAATGCTATAGTGAATATGACTAATCTATTTATGAACAAATGCAATATCATCAAGTTCTTTAATATAAAGAATGTTCCAATTGTCTAGGAGAGTTAATATTACATGATTATGTATTTAATTTCATGCTTTCTTTTACTCACTGTATTTAAAGTTTTTAATCCATCTCGTCCTCCAACAACTATAAGTTTGTTTTGCATCACAGCAACACCAAATTGAAGTCTTCTAGCACCCATTTTCATAAACGGCGTCCAAGTATTTGTACGTGGATCGTACATTTCCATATTGCTGGCACCCTGTAATAAATAACTTATTTTTAAATTACTTCGAAAAAGCCAGAAATGTAGACTATATTTTTTATCTTAATATGGTTATTTTTTTACACATTTCTAAAAAATTATAAATCTTGTTTAGAATAATGTTGAATAGGAAAGGATTTAAAAAAAATTACTAGTTAAAAGTAAATTTTATATTCCTGTGTTCTGGCTGTTTAATTTAATTTTGTTTTCATAATTGAGCATTATTATAATATTATGTTGCTCTGAATGAATGAATGAATGAAAATCATACAACAAATGGTATTTACCAGTGACATGCACAGAGATTTGGGGTAGGGCTAGGGAAGCATTATATGTTTGAAAAAAATAAATACCAATTTTCATAATTTCCTCTTCTAAAACTAAAATTAGATCTTTCGCAAGTATTCATTTAAATGAAACTAATACTTTCGGATTACTACGCGTACTTTATTATTTTTAACGAGCAGACGAGATGTCTGCCGTGATCATGGTTGCTGCAAAGTTACCGAAATATCAGGAGTACCACTGGTATTTACATTACATGTTGTAATCTCTAATGGTAGTAGCAATAATGGTAAATCTTTTTTCATGTTTATTTAGAGTTACATTTACTATTACCTTATATCCATCCATTCCTCCAATGGCCAGGAGCCTCCCTATCGTAGATTTCCTCGGTCTTGTTCTATTAGAAAACAACATTGATCTCCTTTCAGGTAGAAGATGCCATTTCACTGCTTCCATTATAAGCGGTTGACACTCTGTGACCTCGCCACATAATTGCTCAACTTTGTCTATAAGATACTGTAAAAACATTTTTACATTATGTTATGTATTACATTATGTTATGTATAATGTAGGTATATAGTATTTAGTTCTCTCATTCAGTTTTTCTATTCAGTGCAGAACATATATTACGAATTTAATATTATTTTATTGGATACTACACATTACAATCTGTTATTCTTTTTAAAATAATGCAACTTGTAGCATTTTTAAAACAAAACTTGGATAACAAAACATTATTTATTTGGTTTTAATTGTGTTAATTTATTTATAAGTAACACAATTTGAACTCATCTTTTATTTTTGTTTTCATAGTTTGTATTTAATTCAGTATTACAAAGTAACAAAAAAATAATGTTATAAACTTAGTTCTAAACAAAAATATCACATATAATTATTATTTAGAATGCAATTATTAAAATAAAGGTTTGATTTTTTAAAAAGTAACACAAAATAATGCAATGCTGTAACTTGCTTAAAATTATTACATATTGCAACAACCAATTATAAAAACTTGATTGGTATCTAGGTATGTAACATTGTAGGATGTTTCATAATGGTGTGTTATGCAAGCTGCATTATCTGTTAGTCAATAGACTAACACTGTTCAAACCATATTGATAGTGTACATGGAATATTATAAAGTCTTATGCATTTATAAATAACTGCCATTGACATTTATATAACTAAGCCCAGCTTGTAAATGATTACCCATATAAGTACACAAGAATGTGGTTAAAGTATCTATTCATATGACAACAAAGTTATATAATGCAAAACACAGCCATATATGTAATATATACTCACTTCCGATGATAAAAGTGGCAGTTTAATTAGTTTTAATAATGCTGGCAGGTGTTGTTTTCTATTAGCATTATCGTGCTGCACCCAGGCCATGAGACTTTCAAATACATTTTCCTCGGTCATAACATTGAGATCATCACATTTAAGTAAATTTGCCACTTGATCCACATTCAAAGTTAGAAATTCTTGTTGTTTTACAACCTAGAAATAGAAGATTACATGTTAAACTCTCACAGCTCCATAAAATGAATCTATTCATAAAAAAAAAACAAAAAAATTATGCATTGATTATTTTATTAACCTGCATAAAATGTTGGTATGTATATTCCAAAGCACTTTTATGTAAACCCATACATGACTGTTGTTCAGCAAATAAAGCGATTCCTAAACAATTACACGGGTCCAATTGCTTTTCAAGAAAATCACAACATGCTTTTGTTACCGAATGCAATTGCAACAAGCTCGCTGTTGATAGGAGTATCTCAACAGTATCTTCACTTAACTCTGCAAACAAAACACATATCCCGATTTAAAGCAATGTGAACAAAGAAGATGAGTATTATTATTTATATCAGCCATATACCTATAATGCCTGTATAACAATAGTGTACAAGTGATCTAAGTGCCTGTGAGTCAACTCTCTCAAGAGTTATTTCTGATGATTGAGCTTCTCTTAGAGAGCCAGTGAACATTGCTGCAAAGTATTCACTGCATGATGCTAATACAACTTTGTGTGCTGGTATCCTGTTATAGATCATATAAAATGATGGTAAATAATGTTAGTAAAAAAGTAAATGAAATTATTTAAAACAAATTTTATATTCAACCTTTTTCAATTTCTATGTAAGAACTAAACAATTGTTACAAAAAGCCAAGCTAAAAATAAACAAGGCCTAAAATATATAGGAAGCGTAATTTGCAAACAAAGAGTTTTGTCAATGGATATGTGCTAAATTACGTTTTAAATATATTATTATTGTTTGCTTACCTACAACCGCTAGCGATTAAAGCAACGTCACAAAGTTTTTGGGATTGATAGTATCCGTAGATATTTTTCATTGTTGTTTCGGAATGTCCTTTATTACAATGGAATTCATCTGAATTTGAACCACTTGAAAGGCTAAGTTGACTCAATTCTCGAGGCAATCCCTCGTCTGTAGAGTTTGTTGATACATTGTCTTTTGATACCTCCGGTTTTTGAGATTCACAGGCTGACATTTTTAATGTGATTTTTAAATCTTTGTTTTACTTAAACGAACCGGGATACAACAAGCAACAATCATAGCGTTCAAATGATTTTGAAAACAAAGACATGTCAAACGTCAAATGTAAGTTGTGAGATGTCAATGTCACATGTTGTTTTTATTACGTTAGAGCTTTGGCTGTAAAATAATATTTTTGTTGTATCAATGTTAGTATGTAAGGAATAAAAAGCGTTTTAATAAACAATTAGTTAGTGTTAGTTTACATAACGATTATTAAAAAGATACGATTACAGATTGTGCAGATAAAAATATTGTCAAGTGTATGTGCCACTATATAAATATTTAAGGTATATACATATTTATCTTTGTTTCTTATTATTATATCTCAGCAATTGTCAGTACGTAATTCGAAGTGCAAAAAATGTTTTGCTATTCTTAATTTATCTTGTAGGTTACTAATTATTTCAAAATGAACTTTAAATAACATATCGGCTTCTTTTAAATTTCAAAGTGTTAAAATTTCAAACAACTGTTACATAGCTTCGAATACTTATTTTACTTTTCCATAATCTCTTCGTGAATTTGAAAAATAATAATATTTTTAACTTAAACTTGAATTTTCCTTACAGCCATGGAAATAAAATGAAAAGATAATGAAAATAAAATAATATAGTACTTAAAAACCATTTTAAAATATGCAAATAAAATGTTTTTTTTAAAATATTAAACGCCTTTCAAATTTCTGAAAAGATTTCAAAACAGGAGCAAAATTAAAAGTCTAGGACCCGCTGAACCAGTATTTATATTTCTCCAAGTTAATCGAAAATATATCGGAAAACGCGGACTCTGGCTAGCGTGAATGCTTTTGTGAAATATGAATCAAAAATAATCAAGGTAAAAGGTTATGATTAAATTACATTTAAATACCGTATTTGAAACATTCAAATTCTATTTTCAATGTCATGTTATATATTCCCTTTATAAAAATTAAAACTATCGTTATTTCATTTTTAAAACGTTTAATATTTTTTCTATTTATAATTTTAGTAAATAGTAGATCAATTGATTAATAAAACTTTTGTTATTAAAATTATGTTGCATTTATTTTTGATTCAATAGCGTAAACGATTTGCTAGGTTAGTACATACATTTTCTTATTTTATTAAGGTGTGCCTGCGACTTCTTATTTCCTATTATTTATATCAGTTTATATTTTTTATTATTAACATCAGTCCAACTTTTTTAAAGATTTTATTTGTTTATGTACTGTGTATACATTTATGCAGGTGACAAGGTAGTAACGTTAGTATTACCAATTTAAATTTAAATTTTTTTTATACATACTTATAAAAGGTAGACAGGTTTTAAAAATATAAAGAAAAGTCGTTATTTCTGGCTGAGGCATTTATTAACATTTATTTTTATTTTTTATCTTAATACAACATATATAGTAATTAACAATACATAATAAATAGTCCAAAAGTATATTACGCCTACAAAATAGCGTAGTCGTTATAAGATTAACGCCACATGAGTTGCCTACGTATTCTGCTCCAGCAACTCATTCATGACACTGTTGAAAGGTAGGAATGTTCTTAAAGAGAATAGTAAATTGTGGTGTTTATGTTTACTGAACTGGGTGTTGCGGATAGAGGTATGATTTTCGGTAGAGGTCCGGGTGTAGGCAAGGATATAGGAAATTTTCACGAAGGCTACGCAAGCTCCTGCTAGAAACCTCAGTGAAAATTCTTCAAGGAATCGTTAGGTGTCAATGGTGTGTTGGTGAGGTAATATGTAACGTCTAAAACTTTAAGCGAACATTCTGTGAGATCATAAAGGATTACATTGTTTGTCTTTCGGCAAACATAACATTTTGAGAAAATATATGTAAATATCTATCTAGTGGTAATCAAACGTATATAGTATCTACAAAAATAGATGCATTTTTAAACAATGTCTTTGAAAACTGCTGACAGAAACATACATCTCCTTGAGGAGTAAACAGTGTTGGAAACATTTTTCAGAAAAATCTTTTATGACAATTTCATTATGAAAAATAAGAAAGCTTGTAAACTACAAGGGTGTCATCTAAAAATATTGTTCTTTAACCGTAAATTCCATTGAAGTTTCCAAGGTCTTTATAAGTATTTTAATTGAGAGTAGAGATCATAAGCAGGTTATTTGTTTACCATTGTAAAGGCGTTTTACGAAAGGGTATATGAATATTTATAAATGTAAATCCAACAGGGTTTTCTTATGCTCAGACGTAAGACTTCCGAAACTTTGACGTATTTATACTTTAGGTAAAAGCATTACAAATTATTTTTATATTGTATTAATAGATGTGCGTACTAGAGCGTTGTTGTACTGACAGATTGTGCTTGCAACAAGAATATTAGGCATAATGAGATTAGAGCGCGATCGATCGATATAATGAAATCACTCTACCCTAATTAGAAATTGACGAAAATTGCTAAACGTTTTTTTAAATTATATGACACAAGGTTTTACGGAATAAAAATAAACTCGATAGAGCCGTACAAGTTAGAGATAACGTTTTAATAGCCGTCCGCAAGCCAATGTGCTAAATACGATTAGCCCGTATCTCACATAGACTCAAGTCTCGTAACATAGTACATATATATAAATTAATAATCACATTGATAGGTTTAGCCTATACTTGAGATCATGATTTGCGTCTTATCCTACAATATTAAAAATATCACAATAAATTGCTGTGCACATACGAAACAGGCAAATTTTGAGTGCAATTACATTTATATTAATTAGATTTTACTTTAAATTCTAATAAATCATATACATTTAGGAAACAAGAAGTGTTTTATATATGTGGAATTTCATAAATATCTATATATCGCCAAAAAGTTTTAGCTAACAACGAATATTTAATTGCAGCCAATCGCAACTCTCAAACCTCCAACCCTTTACTTTTTAGTTCTATTAGTTTGATAAGTGTCTTAATTTTGAAGCTCTATGAACCATTTAGTTTTTTATCCCATAAACAATTTAATTGTTAAGAATAAATACATACCAGAATAACGAGAATTCGTTGCCACAAACATCCAGGATAAAAATAATAATAATAAACAAAAGGTTTTGTTTCATGGAACATAATAATATGTAGTATATTTGAGGGTTAAGTGTAAAGAAAAATTACTGAGTCGGTAAATTGTAAATGATAAATCTTTAATGACATTTCCATCAAATCGATTAATAAAAGATTTAAATTAAAAAGTTACTTTACTTTCTATGATTGTTTATTTTTGATTCAGATGAGCTTAAATACCGCAGAGACTGATGGCTCAAGAACTTACGTTCTATCAGACTACAACGGTATTTATTGGATTTTTTAACTGTAACTATTTATTTTTATGGAACTCTGTAATAATAAATATATACGATATTATAGGATATATAAGAATAAAAGTATTAATATTTGATGGGCCTCCTTAGTCATCAAAAGACTTATCATTTTCGCTAAAATTCGCATCTGGCCTACTTATAACTTAAGGTAATTGAATAATAATTGAGATCTTAAATACTAAATAGATTTATAAACACATTCTAAACTACTTCTAACATATATCGTGCTTACACATTGTACAATCTAAAATAAATTTCTGGGTGCAATAGGTTATATATTTTATAATAATTAATTTGATGAAACTACTTTTTAAATACATCTACTCTAACGCTACTCCTTATAAGTAATCTAAAGATGTTAATAATCATGTTTATAATAATTCTAGTCCAATAATATTTCTCTATATAATAACATTTAAACCTTTCGGTTTCACTAAGGTTTTAATGACACTAAAATATAATCTATATTTATATACTTAAAAATGATGCGAACTTTAGCTTTTTTTGAAAAAAAAAGAGATTTAAAGTTTAATAGAGAGAATTATAAAAGAGAAAATTACATTGGTAAATTTATTTAACTTAATAAAGGTCTTGTTAAGTGAACCAAAGAATTCTCGTTAAAAAATAACAGACACTTTTTACTTTGCTTTATAAAATAAAATGTTTACCTGGTTTGCTTTTCTATTTCATGAATTTCTTTTGAACAAGACATGTTAAAACAGTACGGCAATGTTCAATAAAGGTTATTTTAATGCTATTTTTTTTCAGTTTTCCGGGCTATTGGTGGCAAACGTTTAGTGCAATTCATTCAGTCAGAGCTTTACTTTATTCGTATGAAAAAACCTACACAATTAATAATTTATAATCGATACACATTAATTAATATAGTGATTCTTTAGGATTTCTAATTCTTTATATTAATAGCTGCCTGAGTGATGACGGCTTGTTTTCTTGGTAACTTATATAATAAACTTGTGAATAAAACAATATCTTAAAAGATACGATTAAAACAGCATAAGTCTTAAATTTCGGCGACTGCTTCCAAAGTTACTATTGAAAACAGACGCCTTTTGCCAAAAATAGGCCGAGTACACAACAAACACAAATAGTTCATTAGATTTTCCTATTTACACGTTCTTATCAATCTTCTTTCAACAACCCTCTAATAAGGAATGTAATAACTTAATACAGAGTCAATGCACAGAGCGAATAAATACTTCAACAAATCCATAATAACATTAATGTAAGTCAAAATGAAGTCAATTTAATCTAAAATATTTATTTATGTATATGTACGATCTACCGACTAACAATGTCGACTACCAGTCTCACATTTTAGTTAAATAAGTGCTAGAAGGTACGAAATAAGACAAAAAATATAATAACTGCTCACAGATTATTGGGACGAAACCAGGTCGCATAATCAACTCTCACGTATATTCGCAAATACTCCAAGTCCTTTCGTTTTGACGGTGCACGTCAACCGTACATCCAAATAGTTCGCTGCCGAATTTCTGACATAACACGTGGTTGTCTGACGGAATGCACTTCTACTTGATATGTTTCATTATACGCATATCCTCATTAATACGACTGGTTGCGTCCGAATACGTCGGATGTTCGCAGCTTCACTGAATGAGATTTCACATTACCGATCAATAAAACGTCAGTCTGTCCGTGTAGTACTGTAGGATATATAGAGTCAGCACTAGCAAATCGGATTCCGGGTAGGATGAGATTTAGCGACCGCGCGCCCACCGCAAAAGCGCATCGGCCAGGACATCCAAGTGGGCTTTTGTCTGGAAAGAAATGTAACTGGTTAATATCTTATACTGTCTTTTATTTGGCTACTGATTAGGTCTTTTATTCTACTCTAACAGTATGTCCATCAATAGAGTGAGTAGATATTAATAACAGCTTACCGTTTTATAGAACATGCACGCTTGTCGGTCTTCGTCTTCCCCGTTGGGGCAGTCTATGAAGCCGTCGCATAGAACATGGTCGTCAATGCATCTATAGCGTCCCTGGCGATCAGGAGTGGGACATGCGAATCTTTCCATTCCATCCGCAGCCGGTGGGCATTCTGGAAAAAAGATATTTGGAGTTATATATTCGTATTTAATTATTTATATAAACCAATGAGGAAATGGGCAAGAGGTCAAGTCAAGAAAGTAGACAGGAAGGTTTCTGGATTCAGTACAACATGCAGTTAGTGACATTTATTGGAGTCATTATATTGTAATAAATAAGTATGAAAAGTTTAGCTTCATACTAATGTATATTTAGTATCGTTGAAGCTTATGTAAGTCCTATAAGTTCTTTTCAACTAAATCAAATTAGAAGTGAACATTTTCACAGAAGTGCAGGTTTTGCGGAGACGTAAATTAAAATTGTTGCAATTTTATTGTTTCCGCAACACGGGTACACTGTGACACGTGTAAAAACTTTAAGCATCAATTTTTAATTGAGTTTACGAACTTTTTACATTCGTATTTATATATAAATTGTACTACATTGCGAAACACACTAAGTGTGATAACTAAATTTCGAGCTGATTTATTACAGAAATTTTAGTTTCCAATTTGGTTTGAAAATAGCATTTAACTTGTAATAGAAGTTTAAACTTATTATTGTTTTTTTCTGATTTTGCTTTCCCAAGTAAGAATGTAAAGAAATAAAAGACATAAAGAGTAAAAACAATTTAATAATTAAATATTTTTCAAGTTAAAAAATGAAATATTTTTAAAGTTAACTTATTATAAATACCTTTTCAATATAGGGTTTTTTATATACCTATTACAGAAACTAAGTATTCATTTCGATGCTTTTTATACCAGAATCATATCTAAAATTAGTATAAAATTTCTTTTATATACAGTTAAGTGTAAGAACAGGTGTTGTATAAATAAATAATTTAACTTTTATAATCTATTCAGGTCTTAAATTTAAATAAGTTGGTACTTCAACGGTAAATGAGTGAGAGTAAATCATTGAGACAAGATTTTAATTAATTTTAACAATTTTTTTATGTAAAACTGTTGTAAATTTTTGTTAATCCAAGACATATTTACCTGAGTTTCATAAAACCTTAATAAATTAAGTTCGTTTGAAGAAAATGAAAAGTAATCACCCGATATATGTTTTCTTGTATTTTTATTGCTCTTTTAAAATAGCTAAAGATATTGTGGCATAGCTCATTATGATACATGAAAAACATTTATTCTGTGATTCAGTGACCGTTCCTCTTGGCAATCAGCAAGCAGAAAATAGTGGGCGATAAGTGAAACGTTTTGAAACCGTTTTCTTGCGTGGGAGAGGTTTTCGTTGGATACTTTTTTGTTTTTATATCATACAGACAATGCTGCCATTTCACTTGGAAAACAACTATTCTGGTATGTATTAATTTTTTCGTTTTCATTTTCCAAAAAGTTTCACTTTTGCTGCTTTTGATTGCTATTGTGGAAGTTGTTAATTGCAAACCAATTAAATCACTGAGCCATAAAATTGGTGATGAGATCGACGTATCGGTATATAATTACGTATCGATTAATCAATTAATTAATCGGTTATACAAATGATGTATTGTATTCACGTTGGATCTCAAATGACAAAATTATCTAAAATTTGTAATATTTTCAATCACATATCAAATGTATGTTCAATCACATACTTTAATGGGAAATATTTTTTCCTCTTAATAAAAGATTTTTTGTATTATAAGAGATTTTGTACGATAAAATTTTAAGTAAAAATAATGCTCCCAACTGAACCTTATTTAGGAAGAAATACGGCTTATATACATAATAATTTAGGACGGCGTGTTTGCTTCCCAATGGGTTAAATTGATTCTATATACATATAAAACAGAGAATAGCTCTCTAAAGCTCACAAATTGATGTATGTTTGTAATTTAATCACGGACGGAGAGAATTTGAAGGACCTCTGAATACGTTGATTTAGGATCAGGGTTTGTTTCTGTAACTGTCTTGAGTTGTTGGCTGAGTAACAGATACTGAATTTTTTATGTTGTCTATTGTTTTATAACAGAAGTAACATTTATTTTAAGAATATCACAATCAAAATATGGTTTGAAGGCTAAGAATATATTCAAGGTCGGGTGAATTTGGATTGCAAAGGTTAATGGACACTTAATGTTTTTAGAGTTTAGTAGGAATTCATATTTAATTTTTGTATGAAAATAAATTTTACAAAGAAATTTCTCTGAAGCATTAATGTTTTGTATTATATGAAATCATTATTTTCATCAGTCTTATGGAGTCAGTTAAAAATAAACAATTAAGATCAAAGAAATTAGTTACAATCAAATCCTTTTAATTATAGATTGACCTAGAAACCGCTTTAAACATAATTATATTAAACTTCTTGCGAACACATCTTTTGACTTAGTAACACAAAGAAGGTTGTGATAATTCCAATAAAGTTCGATGTAAGAACAAACTTAATAAATTGTGAAATAATAGAATTTCGTACTTGTAAACTTTAGTATAATAAATTCAGATTTCACTTGACTAAGTTATTGTTGAATATAAATCGATATCTATAGTTAGAAGATTTATGTTATCCGAATCCGCTTGCAAAGATGGCTGGCTAGTAAGTTCGGAGCGTCTATTTTTAGCAACGCCGGGGAAAGTGAGGCCACAGCTCGATTGCGAGCGCCTTCTACTTATATATACCTATTCTGTATGTATATAGTTCGGCCGGCAACGTCTTGTGCATTCGTAAACAGGCTACGCTACAGACCCATTCAGGTAAACTGCTTCCTTTAAATAATTTCACGTGAATACTATCAATTTGGTTCATTATAGCTCAAAGGTTCCACTTACCATTTAAATCTACTATTCCGTGTATGTGGACGTAAATTGTTATCTCTCACAGTAACAAGTAAATTAAGTCTCTATAATTATTAATGAATGTTTAACTATATTGTTTATAGCAGGCACTTAATTATTCTATAAAATACTGAATCGCTATTTTAATCTGACTATATAAATAACCGTTAATACAAGCTTATGTCGTTTTATCGATACTTGATACTGTAAATGAAATAAGTTTGTTGAGAGCATAAGCTAACAAAAACTCATTGTTATGTTTACATAAATTCTCATTCCATCTTATTTCAGGAATGAGAATCTCATCTTATACAGAATTATAAAATGTTTGAATATTATTTTTCCTGCAGAGCCCTCATTAGAGAGCTATTTTAAGTTGATCGGTTTTATATCAGTAAAATAGCGAAGCGTTAAGAGCCTCTCAAAAAATATCCATTAGTCTTTTCCGTAAATCGTTTTAACCGGTTAATTGAGTTAGAAAAGCTTTGGCCATTATTTTCTCTTTTATATGAAAACGTAAAATAAAAATGAATATTTCTACGGCTTTAAAAATAATGACATAGGTACGTAATTGTCACAAAATATATAAAAAATATTGAATGTCACTTTTTAGTTTCATTTAACTAAAATACTAATGACTTTATAAATTTTAAAGTTGAAATTTACTTTATTATATTTTTTACCGATTGTTTATTTTTAACCTCACTCTATTTTGTTATTTTTCTTATATAATATTGTAAAGGAGTGGAGTCTCATTTTTGCCCAACGTTATGTTTTATATGTGTCATTAATAATTTTATGAGACACTGTTGGATTACCACAAAAAAATAAAAATAATATATATTTATTATACTTCAATGCCAAATACTTTCTTTTATTATTTATAGCGCAACAGTTACCAAATAAGGTGAAGTTAAAATCTATGTACTGTTCAATATTTTAAAAACTAAAGGCTTCCGATATCTCTGTTTGCATTTGCAAGAAATTAGATTTAGTAAGACCTTTGCAGCTAGATGCTATGGTGTGGTAACAAGAATTAGCCTAATCTTGTTTCTGTGCCATCTCTATTGGTCTGACATAATTGCTTTACCCTACTAATAAAACTGGTGATAATGTTATTATCCCTTTAATGGCAGTATTAACTCAATATAAAATTAACCCTTTCGTATTGATCTTGTTAAATATATATTTTAACACGATACAATCTTTTGCTTCTACTAAATACCATGACAATTCTCGTAGTCATGGTAAATAGATGGAAATATATAGTCATGTAAATCTGTGGAATTAGACTTTCTTTCTGCCTTAGAGTGGTGGAAATTTAGGCTTTTTGCACTTTTTGGAAAACTATATGATTGTAGGACGGTCTACAAGTTTTCTGCAAAACTTTATACATGAATAATATATGTAAAGGTTTGGCCGAATCATTTGCAGCATTATGAAAATTCTTTAAAAAGTACAACAAAATTACAAATTTTCCCAACTCTGAAAGCTTAATGGCCAAATTGTCTGCATATGTAAAAGTTTTTAAGTTACTTTTTATCCTTCGTTAGTGGGAGAGGGTGTGAAATGTTACAACGCAGGTGAATTTTATTAGTTAGATAAGCAAGAAGCCATTCACAGAGAAGCATTGTTGTTATTTTGGGAATTACAGAAGTTAAAGAAATAATTGTTCCTGGGTTGTTTCATTGGAAGTACATTAAGAACTAAGGGAAAGAAATGTTAAGATTTTTTTTGTTAAAACACAAACAAAGTTTACTTAAGAGAGAAATGTAATATAAAATAATAAATACTTGTTCCATGAAATGAAATACTCTTCCTATTATATTTATTTTTTTATATTATTAAAATCTTTACTAATAATTAGCGACAGTTATGTATGTATGTTAAAGTTTTAAACTTCTTAATATTTGACAAAAATCCTACAAAATGTTCAAAAAGTTTGTACTATATATTGTACTGACATGTGAAAAAGATTTAAATTTTCTTATTTGATTTCATTTTTAATCTTTACGTTTAATGCTTAAAAGAATGGATATCTTACAACTATATTTAAAAATAAATTGTATGGAGTTCAGACTATTATGAATAAAATTTTGTAATGACTGTTATTGGAAAATAACAGAACTTATAATCTATGTTTTGATAGGATTGTAATTTTAGAACTTAAGCAAAACTAAGAATAATTAGCTAAAACTTATTTCTTATCATTATTACTTTATGTTGAAATCAA